TTTCGAATTTCGAATCGTTAGTGCATGATTGACTAAAGAAAGAAGCATATTAGTGTGATGTGAGGAATAATCGATTCAAATTTCTCGTTCAATCTCGTAACACCACTCGCGTATCCATGGGCGATACTTTGTGTGATGATTTTGGAAATTTTCGATCGATGATATGCTGATTTTAAAAGAATTAAGATGAAATTGCTTCGTTGTACAATATCCTCAGAACAGATCAACAGATCAAACAGCACATTTATTTGTGTTTCATGAACACTGATAAAGTGGATCGTTGAGACACTTAATCGACCAATCATTTTTCACCTAATGTCATTGGCATAAACGCAAATCTTGCACAATAAAGCATGATTATGCTCGGATCGAACACTCAACTCTAAGCAAATGACATCAATCCGGTGAAATTTTAGTTGCATTCATTTGATTAAATATAGGTTTTAGTTAACTTCCTATTTGTATTTTAAAATGAAATTTTAAAATACAAATAGGAAGTTAACTAAAACCTATACTGAATTTTTTTTCGAAAGGAATTTCGAAAATTTCGAAATTCGAATTTTTCGAAAACATACAAACTTTAGAAATATTCAGAGCAACGACTGCGATGAATGCAACTTTTTAGTGAGGGTTCAACGTTATTTTTGATGCTCACTGCGAATTGGGAAAGATAGTGTTGTTGACGTTCCATGAGGCTGTCAACAACTAAAGTAGAAGCATGAATCAGAGCTGAGTACGAGATGATCTGTTTGTTATTTTCGTTGGTTTATACGGGAATATGGTTTCGTTCAGAAATCACATTTTCAGTTTGTTGTGTTTGGCGATTTCTTTATTCGCAATGATTTCGTTATTTTTCGATTAGTTGATTGGATTAGATTCGAACAGAGTGATGAAGGCAACACACACTTCGTTCAACTGCAAACATTCCAATCACATCCTTCAAACGAATCCCAATAAAAACCCTTTAGCAATAGAATCCAAGCAAAGAGTGTTTGACAAAAATGAATATTCACCAATCAAATTGATGAACCCATCTGGTGTAATTTATTGTGTTTATTGGCTGCCATTATTATAAACTAAGCATAAATTTCATACAACTATTGCTGCTAGCATTGTCACATGCCACCTAGAAATATGTGCACACTCCCTCTTCAGGGGCCATATCCTCCACTCTCGACACAATATACGGTGATATTATGTTAGGTGATAATTTGAAGGGAAAAAATTATGGTGGGAGTGGACAAAGTAACTTCTTTCGATTGGACTACCACCTATCAGATTTGCTCTCTTTCGTCAGTAACTAAGAATCTTTTAAACGTAATCTAAAAGCCGTTTCAATTTTATTCAAGGAATATTTTTTTCGTGTCTATTTTCAATTTTATTTATTTAATTTCAATGTCATTCATGAATTTATTCATTCATCATTCATGTCTTCCAATATCACGTCAATATTGAATATCAATTCTCTCACGGGCAACATAAAGTAATTGAATGGAATATGAACCAATTGCATCACATTCAGAACAATCCTATCACAACATTCACTCATTTACCAGAAACCAATATGCTTCCCTTCCGCCCTCACTGTGCAGTGCGGTGCTGCAAAAAGTAATTCTCACATTAATTTTTCCACTTATTTGCACATTATATTACTATCACGCGCATTCAGTATCGTAATTGCTCTAAACTTTATGCTTTTCTCACCAAATTTCTTCGCATAATTTTCTCAACTCCAGCAATAAAACGTGACTTGTTCATTCGAGATATTCAAATATTCCTTCAATACATCGCTTCTATTATTTAAAATTCATCTCTTGTGAACGACGTGATGGAGATTCAGTCACGAAATAATTTCATCTGCGATGGTTTTATCAAATTTTCGAAGGTTATGAATCGCTCTTATCGACAACTCTTTATGAAAGTTGCTGATACCGTATTAGGTAAAAATATCCTTATTTTGGACACATATAGTTATTATCGTTTTTATGTCTGCATTTAAATTATTGTAGATCGCTTCAATATGGTGTAAAAGTTTTCTAATACTGCTTCTTTCGAAATGCTTTCGGAATGTCCGTTCGCTATCGGTAATGAAGCCGAGGCTTTTTGTGGCACTTTCAATTGATTTGGACTATCGTGTCCGACCCACTGCAGTTTTTGCTTCGTTCAGTTTGATTGCTCATTTCCTTCTCAAAAATATCCTCATTCTTTTCAAAACCTCATCCACTATCGCTCTTTTATTTGACTGACTAACATCATATGAGAATATGTTAGATGAACGTCATCAAGTCAAATAAAATAATCGAACCTGGAATATTTTTTATAAGAATGCTTGTTCCTAAATTATTCATATCTGATAACTTCATCGATCACCGGTCACACTTCACTGTCACCATTCACACAAAAGTCTCTTTATAATCATAAAGTATCATTTACATATTTCTTCAAAATTCTCCTTTCATGTTCTCAGTTATATTCCACAACATTTATATTTTTATCTCCATTACAATCATTCCAAATCAGCTATATAATGTTCATATTCGCTACTCTCTTGTCAACTCACAACCAGCTCGTTTCGTAATGCTTTCAAAACATATCACTGAAGTTTCCGGGTATTCTAACTGGTATCTTCCTTCATCTTCTCACATACTTACTGCAACTTAATTGAATGAAAGAGTGTTGATGGTTAATGAGTTCACAATGAGTTGTTATTTTCCTTCGCAGCATCTGGTAATGGCAATATGCGATTCTGTTGACGACTTAGTGTAAGTGCACTGAATAGAGAATGATTATTATGTATGCAAAAGGCACGATGGCCATACACTGCTCTGTGGACGATGCCGAATTGTGTTGGTATGAAATGAAATGGATGAATAATGACTTGAATAGCCAAGTTATCGTCACGTTTATCAACACAACCACACAAAACTGATGAAGGTTCAGACGGCTGGTTTGACGATGAATTGATAATCGCATTATTGGAAGTAAAAAGCGTAAGTTACCGCATCGAGTTTATGGACATTCAAAATGAGCAACGAGAATGTGTAAAGCTCAAAATTTATGAAACGTACCTGAATTCATCGATCGCTTCATGCACTTCACTCGAAACGTTTACGATAGTTGAGCCGAAATCATGTTTATCAAGCGAAAGCTTGAATCAGCAGCGTGAATTATGAGAGATAGCTTGATAGAGTAGGTCATTTGGTTTTATTAGGCATTATTCCGCACACTGAATGAACCGAACGGGATAGATGTTTTTAACAAGTGAAAAGTGGTGATAATAATGGTGTGAATGGAATCAATCAAAAAGAAACGTTTTTATCCAATACGAGAATATCAAACATAACGAAATCGTCTCACATTGCAACTTGGCCATAATTCATCTGATTTCATTACAACGATGGATCACTGTCCCTATGTAATGCTTCCAAATGTAAACTTCTTTACAAAAAAGATATCAGATAAATTTTCTGAGAAATAATATCGAATGTGGCAGATCAGGTTTGTTGCAGTAGTCATTATGAACGGAACAAAAAATCGAAAAATTATTAATAGAACGAATGCGTCGCAAAACTTCATCATTCTGCTATTATTTTTCATCAGCGTATTATATTTGCAGCGCAGCAACGAGGAAGACATCGAAAGTGATAAAATAACAAACCAAACATTACATAAGGATACATTTCCAATAGTTCAACTGATTACTATCTTTTTTTATTAATAGTATTATTATTATTACTATTTTAATCATTTGTTACTATTGTTATTTTAATTAATGCTATTATTGTCTTTATAATTATCATTAATTCGAGTTCCGATAATTGACATTTTGGCATGTAATTTTTGTACTGAGTTGATTGAGGGATTCTCATATTGAGAAAGTGAAGTGAAATGTATGAAAATAGAACAAATTAATGAATTGCGCAGTGCAATCGTCGTGGCAGTACATTCGTCAGGCTTGGTGTCATTCAAACGGTGATAACAACAGAATGAGATTAATTTGAGTGCAACGAAACTTCAACAAGTATTTGTTGAATAGCAATTTTTTACTCGATCAACCTAAACCCCTACAACAAATTGGTTGATATATACAACGATGGTATCGAACGAAAAATCATTTTTGATAGTTTTGTATATTCAAGTTGCTTTCGTATTCTTGCCTATTGTACTTCTGTTTTTTTTTGAGAAGTGGATGATTGAATGGATTTCTTAGGAGTGTTTATCCGTTTCGGAAAATTAAAAAAAATAAACGAATACGTCTGAAGGCAAAATGCAATGAGAAGAAACAATAACAGCATTTTATACAACAATTTCAACGATGCAATCAAGCATAAATATCATCTTTTGATTTCAAATACACTAACTTTCTGTATGATTGAAATCGAATCTCAATGAATCAATAGAAATTTCAAAATGGAACATTAAATCACGAACACACGTTCATTGATCAGCACTCACATTTGAAACAAATCAAAATGATATTCATCAGTTTATGAAGGTATATTACTATACGCAATACTAAGAATGCAAAAAAATGAAACTTCGAATTCAAACACTCAACAACTCCGAATAATAATCATTCAAAAGGTGCAATTGATTCCATTTCTTAAGTACTTTTTGAATGCAACACGAGGAATGCCATCATACAAGACTTCATCATTTCATGAGATTTTGCCGGATGATTTCAATGTATAATGCGGATGGATATTCATTACAAAAATTTGACGAATGAGATTTTTTGAGGAGAATTGAACACGTTCTCATCAAGTGATTGTTGCAAAACGATAGTTGCATAAGGGTGCGATAGTAATAAGATCCATCGAATTTCTCGATTGATAGCCCTCATTGTCATTGGAATGTTCTTTAGTTTATTATTATCACTGTTATTATTATACAATGAATGCAATGCACAAATCTACAATGATACAGACACACAAATGACACACTAAACATTTGCAAAGAGATTATTAAATGACGACGACGACAACATTATTGATGGCAGTTTACAACGGCAACTTTGAGGAAGCTTTGAGCGAATTGCAACCCCAAACGACGATAAGCCCAGATAACATTAGACATACCAGTGATACGGACACTATTGATGAGATGAACCAAACCTCTGACATACACACCATATCCAAATCATCCCATGATGAGCTGTAAACATTCAAATTTCTGATTGTCAGTCCGGAAGGACAACGCAAGCCTAACTGAGAACGCCTGAGGCTTGTGTTGAAATTTGGGATGTGAATGAACGATATCGATTGAGGAGAAATGGATGAATGAATGAATGAAAAACAAACCCATTAATGAAGGCATTGCTGGCATTCGTTAGCAGATCAATGTCTGCTGCATCATCGTCTTCTTCGCCTTTGGCCAATACCCGAATGATCGCCGAGAGTGTCTCTTCGGTTTGATTCGTCGCAATACTTCTCTTCTTTCGACCGTGCGATACAAACAATTCATTTGTACCCGAATCCAAACAATTACTCTGCAAATTATCTCATTTACGTATTATACAAGCAAACATTTCAATGACAATTTCATAGAAACGAATTGCGTATCGGTTGAAATCTGTGCAACTTACTGGTGGACATCCATTAGGACCAGCACAGAACATAATCTGGCACATGATCTGAATATCGTAAGAACCATCCAATCTGAATGCTTTCATATCACATTTCAAACGATTCTTATCGAAATCTTGTTCCACTGGTCCAACCAATGCTGGATATCGAGGGCACCTGAAAGAGCAATTGTTTGCAATCGACCGCAAAATGTACAATTCAACTGTAGATTCAATGAATGCATAACAATTGAAGAATATCAAATGAAAAATTAACCCATTATCAATAATGGTGAACGGAACAGCTTCACCCTCTCCACCAACTCGAGTCGCCGTGCAATCGGTTATCATCATATTATGAGGTCCAGCTTGTTCCGAAGTGACGATCATTTGTATTGAATCACCGATAGAGGCTTTGCCAAGTGGCTGATCATCGGCATCGATAAAGGACAGTTGCGCCGTTACTGGAGGTGGTGTTCCCATTTCGAGCACTTGAGTGTTCGCTTCTCTGCAAGTTTGGCATCAATAAGTTTACGTGCTGACGAATTTGTTCGAAGATGCGTTCGTTATATTAGCTTCACATTTGGAAGTATTTTGCAAGCTTCGAGAAATGTTTGAAAATTGAAGTGTAAAACGCAAATATTTACTTATGCTTTCATTTTGTTGCATTTTAAGAAAATGAAAACTTGAAAAAATAATGTTTAGTGAATATTGTTATACATTCACTCATATTTTCCGTACTTCAATTTCATTTCGTCACGTTAGCACCGTTCCACTGGATGCGATCCGAATTAAAGAACTCAGAACTCAGTCTGAGCAAACTATTCATTTTGCCTTTGTTTGTTCATTCCTACCATACTTAGTGCTATTTTCACACAATCTAATGCTTTCAACAATTGGTGTTGGATTTCCTTCAGCAAAAATTACTTCTTTTTTTGGTTTTCAAATGCAAACAAGTTCATATACGGAACGAAAATCGTCGAATACATGCTATGTTGCTGGGGGAAAATTTTTGAGTGATAATCGCGAAACAGCGAAAACTTCAGGCATCGCAGACTTTTGAGTTGCTTGTGAGAAGGATTGATAACAAATGATTACCCGGCATCATAGATGGTGGTGACAACAACAGAGCCTTCTTTGACCATTTTATCCATGGAAATATCACAAGCGACGCGATAGAATCGATCCCATTCAGTGGTTACTTGATGTGGCAATACACCATCCAATGACACGACGACCAGTGCTTCCAATTTACCATCCTTGAACACACACACATTATTTCATGTCAATACCGAACATACACACATCATACAAATCGTCTGTGTAACGGAACCTTGATGACGGTTCCGCAATCAGTGGATATTGTTGGTGGTGGGAATGTGATCGAGATTTGTTTCGCGTTTTCAACAACTTGTGAGCATGTGCTGAAACGTTCGGCTGCATAGATCGCACCCGTATACGGCTCCTTCGTGTTGACTATGAAGCGAATTCCCTCATTCGTACACAACGCCATGCCACCAAATTGTGACTCTGAAATTTATAATCATTTAGAGATTATTGAACATTTTATCATACTAAATTGCTATGTGTCAATTCCATGGAAACCATCAAGTAGGAGATGAACAATAAGCTTGTTTAGAGAATGAGAAAATTTTGTGTGCACAATTTTATGATCAAATGAGAGCAAATTACCACAGTTGAATTCGTAGAAATCCGTAGACGGGTTGGATTTAATATTGGCGTCAACACGTCCAACAGCATAGATGTAGCAGGTGGATTGGGTGCGGTCATAGTTGATACTCTTACAGTTCAGATTCTGGAAGCACAGTGAAATGCAGTCCGATACAGTCACTCCTTGAGCAGATGCCACTGGATCGCCTTCTATTTGACTGCCAATGAATCGCTCGAATGCGGCTTGTTGTCGACAAGTCGACGAGCTCAAATCAGCTGAAATTTTTAGCAAAATGAATTTGATGCAGAATGGTAAATCGGGTGATTCGAACACACCACACAAATACACACTTCTTCTCGGCAACCAAGTTCGATTTCAGCTTGGAACATTGTGCGCTTGATAGGGATAATGCGATTAATAATATCCCGACTATTTTGCAGTCTGGCGATCATTTTTCAATGCCGAGATAAAGCCGGCACTAAAAAGAATGATAAAGTTTGAAAGATATCCTTCACTACTCTCTGGAAAACGAAAGTTAAGTGGTTCTATTATATAATGATTTATCAATTTATTCGATGGTAAAAAACAAATATTACTGAATATGAATGAACTCAGAATGACTGATGTGTAATTAAAGATGAGTAAATTACCAAAACTGTATAGTTCTATCAAATCTCTGAATCGCGAGACTTTTCAGAGAATGAATCTCGAAATCGCAAGCAAGATTGAAAAGTCGAAATCAAGGCATCTCATGCAAACACTCATTGCTATCCGATAATGGGATGAATAATCAAATGATGACTCATTTCTATTGTCGTTCTTCGTTCAAGCTTTATCTAGGACTTATACCTAATTAAGATACATAACTAAAGGAATGATCGAATGAGATCGGTTGAGCACCAATGAAATGCCCTATTTCTTGAGAAACTACAACATACGACGATTACGCTGTTCAGTTGCTCACAATCACAGAACTGTGTCAAAATCTCTTTATCAAAATACTCGCACTCAACATGGACGAAATATCAAACTTCATTGCGAGAAATATTAAAAATGTGCTTGATGTTGTCTGATATTATTTATTTAATCAGCAAATCCAACAACTCAAACTTATTTAGAGTTCAAGCCTCTCTGATATCACCAATATCACTAATATCACAATCTTCCTCCCTTGGCATCATTCCTTCCGCGCAGCTTACGGGAATAGCGTTGGGAATCATCTATTTATTTAATCAGCAATTCAACTCATTATAAGTTTATGCCTCTCTGTTATCACCAATATCACTACTATCACATTCTTCCTTCCTTGGCATTCTTCTTTCGACGCAACTAACGATAATAGCGTTGGGAATCATCTATCTTCATGAAATTGTAACTTCGCTTATTGATTTGGCTAGAGCACAGAGGTTTTGGGCTACTCTCCCTTACTGCTCAATGATTTCTAAATATTATTATATAACGGTGAAAAAAAAGTTCCATTTGCTGACGGTTAAAAGATGTGGGAAGAAGATTGAGAATAGCTCAAGTGAAAAATCTGTTGTAAAATGCGATTGCGCGCTCTAAAAGACATCTCTCGGAACATCACACTAAATTTTGACTATGTCATCCTCTGACGATGATCTAATTGCAAAAGAAACTGGATTTGTTCAGAGATAAGCAGTTGAATCTAAACAACAAAAGTGTTTCAAGGTCATTGAGGTCATATTTTCAATCGTAAATTTTCAATGCGTGCATACACACACGCACACGCCGAAACATAACCAACTATTGCATAACAGATGGAATAACTGCTGTTTAAATGAATCATCTAATTAGATCAAAGAATCCAAATGAGAATTAATGAAGTGCGATCTCCTCACAATATTTAGGTCACTGAGTTTTGAGTCAAATGAGCGAAGAATAAACATTTTTAAACATTTAAATTTCACTTCAGAAATTTCGATGAAGAAATAATGAAATAAATAGAAGTAACGCAAAAAACCAACCAGCAACACAGATCGGTTCATAGTAATCTTTGCCCTGAACCTGACCCTGTTGGTCAGCTCTCGAAAAGGTGTCCTCATCGCTGACAATACAGTTCTTCTCAGTGGGACTGAATTCAACCGATCGACAGAATGTGTTCAGTGAGTCTAAGCATTTCTGCAAACAGAACGACTCCTGTGCTTCCACTGATTGTGTATGATCGTAGAAATGGATTTCGAAATTTGTCGTTTTCACGAACACCAAATTTCCGCCCGATTCACCACACCGAGTTTGACCTGCAATTCCAGTTGTTCTAATCAACGACAAACTATTGCATGAATGGATATCACTGAAACAAATTCTCATCGATTGGACGATATGAAGAGATTTTGAGAGGTGCGCGAGCGAAGTAACTTACGACTGAGGCAATTGTTATCGTAGTAGTCAACAGGGGCTTCGTTTTGTCGTAAATGAGTCGGTTTGGAGCGTCGGTCTTCAGTGGACAGTTCACAGAGGTAAGTATCGTAATTGTAATTCACCGATCGGCACACGAATTCATCCTCTTTTAGACATGCGGCCAAACATTGTTCACGTGAGGCAACCTGAAACATTCGTATCGAAACTTTTACGAATTAATAATTGTGCTTTGTTGCATGACAAAATTCTCGTTTTACAGTAGCATATGAAATTAGCAAAATTATTCTGATGTGATCGTATCATAGCGATTTCTCGTCGATGGTCATCGAACGCTCGTATTTCGTTGAGTATTGCGTAAAACTGGTGTGTGATCACCGGCATTTACTAATTGTATCATGAAGTGAGGCCTCTATTATGTGTTGATCAGTCGACGAACAGACATAAAATTCAGTTGATTTTGATATGAATTGGCCAACCTGCACAGATTTACGGACGAAACCTTCGAGAGTCGTTTTTCGAATTCGTTCGAATGAGAATGAGCGATAGGTGCATGCCTCATGTGCAGATACACCCGGAATGCATGTCTTCTCATAGTAGAAATTATTTCCAGATGGGTTTTTGGCCAGATCCGAAGTACCAGCTGGACTGGCCGCGTCGTCGAAGAAGTAACAAGTTTCACGACCATCAAAATTGAATGAAGCACAAACACGTTGTGCACCAGTAGTGGGCTCAATATTGTTGCGACAATACTGCGCGCAAGTAAGATCATGACCTGCGGTTGAGATCACAACTGGAGTGCCGTCTAAACGAGCACGAGCGATTCGGACAAAAGCCGTGGTTTCATGATTACCGCATTCGAAGACTGCTTTCGACGGATGAGCAATGAACAGAATTGATAGAAGTAACGCTAACATAACCGCTGATAAATGCTGCCTCATTGATTGAGCCAGAGTTGAATAAAAATAACGGTAGTTGGATGAATATCTATCTCTACCTTGGAAGGTAGCAAGCACACTGACTGATCAGTAGTAACAAGATTTGTGTACGTCGTGTCTATGTGTGTGGATGATAGACGGATGAATGTGATCTGATCTCTTTGATTTGATGTTTATTAGAATGGTGGGTAGGTAGCGGCGTTATTGCACACAAAGTTGTCACCATCTTCTTCCTTACTGATCATATACCACGCCTTGACCTCGTTCTCGTCTCATTACGGTCGTTCACCGGCCCACTTTCTTAGACTATTCGTACCATGGCGACATCACCAAAAACGATACATAGCACCCGCCGAAGCTGTTAGTTTAGTTGTGCTGTGCTCTTTTCCTCTTTCTAACTTTCTTAACACATCAATTACAATCCACTGAATATCCTTAAGAAGTGCTCGTATAACTGAACTATTTAATAGACAATGTCATTTATTCGATTCACACATACCTTATAGTATTATTGCATGATGCAAATACAACTGCAAAACATTTGTGCATACCTACAAACTGATTTTAACTCTTTTAAATTTGCATTCTCCAAATTCAATTGAAGGTTTTCTTGAAAAAAATGTTGCCTTTCTTGTGAGAACATTCTTGTAGGGCGGTTTTTTTTGGAAAGAACTATTTCAGTGAGGTGTGCAAAAGGGATGATCCCATTGTCGAAAAAAAAAGAACCTTCTCAGAAATGTTAGCTGAGATAGTTCGGTTTGAGCATATGCAACAAAATAGATGACCAGTTCACACTCGCGGATGTCATGATTGGATACTAATATTACGGTACAGATTTTGAGTGTGAGAATGCAGCAGTTAGGTGTGTCTCGTTCAACAGTAATGCTTCATACCTGCTCTTGTTGATCAAATTGTTTGAAGTTGATGAAAAAACACTTAAAGTTTCGCTGATATGAGTTATGATGATTACTTAACTTGAACTCTCTAAAAATACAAAATATCAGCATTACGAGCCATTTTCATCTATCTTATTTTATATTTAGCATCTAAAATGGAATGCAAAAGTAAACTACACAAGTGAACATCATCCATAATTACAAAGCAATCGTGTTGCAGGATTTACTGCGATTCATTCCTTGTTCACGTGTGCACACACTCCAACTTATAGATCCATCAAAAGGTCATTCGTTCGTATTCAAAACACAGTTATGTGTAATTGTGATTTACATTGCTGCTAATATTTTCCTTATTACTAACATTATCATAACTGCTTCATTGACTGAAAATATTTTGTTTAGATTATTGTATAGGATGAGTTAATTATAAGATTTCTAAAAAATGTTGTATTAGATGTACAGGTGTTGGAATGTGACATAAGTGAATAGAAGAGAATTTGGAATAATGCGTTGATGATTGGCCTTGACCATTAATGATTATTGCATGATGCGCATTAAGAGATGCGTTTTGTTTTGTACTACTCTCTTCGTGTATCTATCTCCTTATCATATCAATAAAACATTCAATACTCCACTTACAAATAAACCATAAATGCAAAAATGCATCTCGATAACATTAACTGCACTTGATTCATTTTGTCTACATGCTCGTATCATTTGAAGGGATATTCGTACAATCGACCATCCACACGAATAGGGATATAACCTAACCCGTCTTATTACCAGTATGATACTGTGCCATGCAATAATTGCATTATTTCCGTTCATCAGTTCAATTCATGAAACTGAATCGTTCCAGAAATTCCAACGGAAACAGATGCATTCCAAGATATTTAAATGGCAACAATTATCGACGATGACATAATTTATTCGAGTGGAATCAATTCTATTCACTGAGTGCCCTCGTACGTTTAGTGTTCACACCTCACCGCAATCACATCATCCCAACAATAAGATTTCATTTCGAAGACGAATTATTCAAGGATTAATCCCATTAAATTCCACTAATCGTAAATATCGTTTATTCATTCTCAATTATTGAATCATTTAAACGAACTCAACAATTTATCCAATCCACTGCGGATTAATTCTCAAACGGGACCAAATGAACCGCTTCATTGAGTCAGTTGTGTGTCGACCCAACTAAACCATTATGATTTCCTAATAACCATCATAATCTTTAATCATCTGCAATGAATTTTTTCTGTGTTCTTGTAAAAACCCTTCCATGGAATATGCTTCGTCATCGGAAAATTTCAATGCAAATTTTATTGAAAATATTATAGAAAAGTTTCAGAATTATCAATGAGAGCGTAGCAAATCGAAAAAATACAGAAACTGCAAACATAACAAGCACAGAAAGATTACACGATTCTAGTTCTGGATTGAATGCAATGAAAATGAACTTCAGAGATAGAACGCGATTTAGCATCAAAAACATACAGTTCAATATGTGACCGAGACAATATGCAAAAAGCGTTGTTGATCAACTTACAATTGGTAAAGCAACGTGACCAACTGATTCATTTCAATGAAACAAACGTTGAACTGCGACTACTGATGACGATTCTCTTAAATTATATCCACTAAACTACAATCGTTTCCAAACTAAAAATCTTGCACATTTATCTTACATCACTAAATTTTACAGAAGTTCGCCTGAAATGCTAAAGCGCTCAAAAATTCATCATTTTCAAGCGAAAGCTAGGCAGCACCACTGTCGAAGGAAGTTGAGAGAGGTGAAAAAGAAACGAACACGAGTAAGTTCCACACAGAAGAAAACTTCAGTTTTTGGCTCAAGAAGTAACAATAAAACACAGTCACATGGAGCTAATGACCGCATTTCAAAAAGATATTAGTATGAACAATGGTGAATACTGCAAAATAAAACAGCACACACTCTCAAATCAACCCCAATCAGGCCGTATCCGAAGCAAATGAATAAAGCTGCACATTCCATCAGTTAGACGATTACATAATCACAAACATAATACCTATACAATTATATCAGTTCGATATTCCTTATATTTACAACTCGATCGTTTCATCATTCATAATTCGATTACAATTCCAATATTTTGCCTCTTTCTAATCAATCATTTGAATTTGTTTTATAAAATAATAAACTGTTAATATAAAATAATGTAAAACAAAAAAGTGAAGAATTGGGTAAAGATAATCAGTTAGATAAGGCCTTTAAAAAGTTTTAATTATCGATGAAAACTTTGGAAATTTCGATGAGCACTTATCCTCTATGAAAAAAAATGGCAACTTTAGCTTTAAGGTCAACTGCTGCAGTCAATTTCGAGAATTAGAACATGAAAGCAAAAAAAGAGATGAAATCTGAAAGAGATATCATTGCGACGAGCATTTTGACGAATAACGGTGATAAGATGTGAATCGTGAGAAATCGGCATGAGATGAGAAACAATAATATTGAAGCTGATGAAACGTTCAACTTGGACGGCATTAAGTCAGAAAAGAAACGACATTAATCCGAATTGTTGATCAAAAATGTGCGAACGAGAAACGAAAAAAAACGATTTTCATTGAACAAATAAATAAATGAATAAATAACACAGTTCATTTAGTATCCTTTTGAAGAAACAACGTCGAACGTATTGAACATCATTTCTCGTGAAATCAAGTTGTTTCACATAAGCTAACAAAATTGAAAACGTTGCCTTAAGCAATAAACAAGAACAATATTTCAGGCAGGCGTTTGAGTAGAACCGTAAGTTATGAAAAATGAAAAAGCAATTAGCAATAAGGAGAAAATGCAATAGAACGTGATCGATAAAGGTAAATACTGGAAGAAAGTGTGACTGTAAATTGACGATTCGAATGTTAATTAGATCCTACGAGAGCATCTGTAAAGAATGTTGTATATGAGGATACAAAATCAACACTTATGAATGCACAATAGAATAACTGAAAAGTTTCCATTCATGCTGAAATTTGTACTTGAATGCGTAATGCCTAATCGAATTTCTTGAGATACTGTTTGAAAATGATTCAAAGTCCTATTCAAATTTCTTAACAAATTAACAAAAATGTAATATGCAAAACCACAAAAATCTCGAATTCATTCACAAATGTATTCGAAGCAGGCACTCATCGAAAGAATCCTTTTTGATACTGATTTGGCTTAATTTGATAAACATAAAATGACATAGCACCACCATTTCCCTTGTTGATGAGTTAAGAAATTTTGATGAACTTATTTTCATCAAATCAAATTATGAAACTTGATTTAATAAAAGTGAAACGCTAGTAGTACCATTTGAATAAAAAATAACGCATACGTATTAAAAGCAATTTGAATGAGTCAATTACATAGTTTGGCGTAACTGAATAAGACAGTCCAGAAATGAGACGACCAACGATGGACAGTTAAGGCGCAAGCCAGAATATCAATGATAATAATATCAATACCAATAACAATAATAATAGAAATGAGACGACCAACGATGGACAGTTAAGGCGCAAGCCAGAATATCAATGATAATAATATCAATACCAATAACAATAATAATCGTAACCATACGAAATGAGTGTCGTAAGTAATCGATAAAAACAGCTCATCTTCATCACCAGTATAATTACGATAAGCATTTAAAATAGACCACACTGTCGTAAATTTTCTTTGATAATGATATCGGTGACTGCATCAAAAACGAAGCGAATGTTGTTCGTATCAGTTGCACATGTGAAATGTGTATAAATCTCTTTTTGACCATCTTTACGTTTATTTAAATTCTCGAATTGCAACTGAATATAAGCAGCTGCTTCTTCATACGTATTCGTGCCTAAATTTCATCGAACTTACTGAATGAATATCATTCAAATAAATACTCGACTAGTTTATTCTTTCTATCTTCACAACACAAACAATCGTCAATGTTAAAAAAAAAACTGTAGATGTATCAAAATGTGAGAAACGAAAAAAAAACAAATTAACAACCAACCAGTATATTCAGGGAAGCATAAAGTGAGTGGTGATTTTCGTATTTTTTCTTCAAAAAGATCTTTCTTGTTTAAGAAAAGAATTATTGATGTGTCGGTGAACCATTTGTTGTTACAAATTGAATCGAATAATTTCATACTTTCCACCATTCGATTCTGAAAATTGTAAATGATGAGTCGCGTCCAATACTAACCCACGATGCTGAGGCAGCTGGAGTTAATTTTGCAATTTGGTCAGAGGATTGCTCTTCGATACTGAATGAAAGATTAAGTAATAACGTGAAAACAAGTAATAACGTAAAAACAAGAACCATTTCATCATCTTCGGCAAGTCGCATATCGTACTCAGACATCGCAACGCAGAAAATGATTGCAGTCACACCTTCGAAACAGTGAATCCACTTCTTACGTTCCGATCGTTGGCCACCAACATCAAACATCCTTAATTGCGAACAATCATTTTCATTCCCTTCTTTTTTTCAGCTATATTATTAATTCATTTTTTGTTTTTCGATAGCAACGAATCTTCAACCTGAATAAAATGGTTGTGCTCTTATTCCATTCAACATAATCTGAAACGAAAAAAACTAACTTAAAATGCAAGTCCTTATAGGTGAAATGCGTTTCTACAATTCCTGTCGTTTTAACACGTGTTCGCAAAACATCGTCTTGAGTAGGCACATATCCTGGTTGAGATATCCTGAAACCATATTCATAAGGTACTGTTCTGCTTCGAAAAATGAATTCTGCAATCGACTCTATTGTAACTCCGATGCAAAGAGTGATTTGAAAATGACTGATCATCTGAAGTCATTCACAAATAAAGAAGTTCAAGTGAATTACATGTTAAACAAAGATTATACGATAGAATAAAGGCACGAACCTATCTAGATAATTCAAGTAGTATGGTGCAGAGTCGTTAAGTTGGTACTCTCTAGAGCGCATAAAGCACTCTTGCACACCCGGATCGACCCATAAACGTTTCATGCAAACCGCCAATTCAGGTGGTAATTCACCTTCGTCACAACTTTGCGCTAGCATGAAGAATTGTCGAGCGTCTTCACTTCGTGCCGGCTGTGCGAACTCGATCTAAATATCGCAGTTCTCATCATTATCTTTAACAGGATCCATCTCTGTTACCACTGTTGTTACATGAGTCAAATTGATGAACGACACATAGAAAATAAGCCATACTTTGAGTTGTCCCATTGCCCTGATGATGGCCATCATCGACTGTATGGTGTTCGAATAAACAACCGGCTTATACGCTTTCCGCTCCTCATCACTGTAACCAGTCTCGTGAATGATCTTCATCTGTTTCACGATTGTACTCTTGCCAGATTCACCGGCACCTAATAATAATAATTTCACCTCTCGTGATGCTCGTTCACCATCAGCTTTCAGCTGCAATCATATTTCTATTCATTAACGGCCCTAAGTCATCAATCCATCAGAAAACACCAAAATTTGAGTATGTTCCACATCCAAGATTAACTATCGGTAATTTACAACTGAAATTTTATCATAACTCGGTTGCAGAAATGAACTCGCATATTTCGAGGGTAATAGCTTCTCGAGTTTAATTAATCATAAAGATTACCTGTTCGTCGATCTGCTTCGACCGTGCCTTTGCATTCTGATCAGTGCTGTTAACACAACCCATACTCTTCTTGTTTGACGCTTTCACGAAATAAGTTCTTAAATGCGCTCTTCAATCTTGAATTGCTTCTATTTAGTGGTATCCGTTCCGGGTTTCACCTCACTACCAAAAATCCACTCTTTCGTAAAAACAAACTACACCACACTGCACAAGTGACACGCCGATTCGCCGATTGCACTCGATTTCGAGGTAAAATGCTGAAAATAATGTTTTCATGAAGAAAAGTTAAATTCGGCTAAAAACTTGCACTGCTAAACGACGAACGAGTTGAAATACACCTATTAATATACCTATTAGTAAAATTGAACTGTAGCACCAAGTGTAGAAATATGATGACACACTAACTGATTATTCATGCGCTCAAATGCGTTTGCTATTACAACTTAATCGAAATGAATGGAATAATACACGATTGATTCGATCAATTGACATTTTCGAGATACTCGGAATGCACCATTATTGCAGCAAACAAAGACGCTCACTATGATACAAAATGAATCCGCACATGAAACGCAATAAAGCAGAATAAACATGCAACTTAGAAGGCTAACGATGAACGGATAATCATAATCATAAAGCGTACAAAAATGCGATAGACACAACGCGCTCGCTGCTCTTCATCAATCTCCCACGCAACATTCAGCAATGCGATGACGCGTTTTCCCGCCGTCGTATCGCTTCAAAACTGCGGCTTATTGCTCGATACCAATGTGACGACTATATGCTGATTGAGCATTGAGCAGAGCTCGGATTGTAATGTGAATCTGTAAATTCACAGCACTGAACATGGGTACACTTCTTTCGCTTGAATGCCTAAGCGCAGATGTAATTCTGAAAACGAGTCTGAGACTAATTTGAGCGGATGAATTTAACGATTGTCGCTTCAACGCGGGCGAGATTTACTGATTGCTGAGCACAAATATATACTGTTGTATGTGAGCTGAGAGGAAAGAACCACTGCAAACCCCGGGATGATTTAAACCAATCCCAGCCAGATCATCAGATGATCCCAATTACGAGCCTCAGCGTGATTCAAAGCATAAACCCAGTTCAAAACTTAAGCCCGATCAATCAGTTGAAATTAAATTACATTTAAGTGATTTCTGTATGGTTTTGAAGTGCAGAATGCCAAAAAAATCACAGCCACTACAGCACACAGTTTTTAAAGCCATATACGACAGGAACTTGTAATATAACGCTAGACGTATATTCGTCTGCAAGGGAATCAAAAACTCTGTGAGAATTTATCCCGGATTTTCAAGTATTCAGCAACTTTACCGAAGACCGAATGAAAGACTGGCATTCATTGAAGGTCGCCCGTAGTATAGATACAATCGACGATTTCACCACTTACTAGATCTTAAAGGCACGGCTAACATGGAATATTCAAAATCGAATTCTCTCAGAATTTGGTTTTGATCGACGTCATATGCAGCTTTCAGGTGATATGATTTCAGATGACATGATATGCAACTTCTAACTATAAGACATCGAATTTTCTCTTCTCTCATATATGTGAATTGATAATAAGAGCTGTGATAATGGTAGTAGTAGTGATAATGATAGTATCAACAGAGACAATAGTGTGATTGCGAACAGCAGTCGTAATACTGAACTAATAATAAAAGTAGCAATATGATAATAGCATCACACAAGCAATAAGAATGATACCAATAACAAATCTTGATTTTGTTTGTCGTCTTATTGTTTGTTTTCTTTTGTTTGGTTGCTTATTCTACCACTGACATTATTCCGGTTTTCATTATATTGACTGTCTGTTTGATAATGCGATTTTCTTCGAGGATTCGATTCCGATTATATACATACCTATATATCGAGCCCTTTCCCAGGTAGCTTGATAGATTATCAAGCTACCTGGGAAAGGGCTAGATTGTTCTGTTGATGATATTGTTCGATAGATTATCAAATTGACTATTTTTCTTGATGTTCTCATTAGTGATAATAATTTAATTCAGCGTAAATGACTTATTTATTACCGTGTTTATATGGTTTCATTTGTGCTCAAATCATTCCTCTCAAGATATCGTTGACCGAATGAGAATTAAATGAGTATTTTTTTGAGGAAATGCATTGTAATCGTTATGCTGACACATTGTCTTTAGGTAGGTTTCACAGCATTGCCCACCACATAAACTTCATAAATACATTTCAGGGTATTCCTTATGATTGCAGATTCTGACCTATAAGCGAAATATACATTTACTTCCTCAAACATTCCTATTTATCACATAATATGATAGTTGAGAACAGAATCAATGCTACAACTCATCATTATTAATTCGTCAAGTTATGATTATTAATTATTCTCATTTGTGTGAATTCTACTGTTTAGATCTATTGGGCAGAGTTCGGGATGATGAGTCAAACCTGTATCCCGTGGAATCAGGTTCAGCTCGAAAAAATGAGGGCTGAAACCCGCGGAATCGAGTTTGTGGAATTCCGCATGTTCTTGTAGTGTTGTACGAGTTCAGGTTCAAAATGTGAGCTTGTGGAACTCCGACCTCGCACCTTTTCCCAGACTACCTATAGGCGCGACCTAGTGGACTTTTTTCACTGCGATGGCTCCATTTGTCGGCATCTCCTAAACAGTATTACACTCTATCGAGATGATGCAATACCTGTACCTCATAGCCAATGGGGTGGCACGCCTGAGAATAGTAGCCATCAATGTTTTATCAAACTTTATATCATGGAGTACAATTTGATGAGAAGCGATTTCTCATGTTAGTGTTGTACAATGTTATGAGGATATGATTATTGCAATAGCGAGAGGGAAAACCTCATAGCTGTGCATTTATTTCACTGTAGTTTACTCCAGCTTTGCGGAGAACACGTCCCTTTGTTCTGTTCTGACTCCTCGCTCGACCTAAGCAATGCATGTTAGAGACTGTGTATGACGTTTCTATAGAAACGTCACATCCGTGCTCAGGATACGCCTATGAGGACGTACAGCTGCCTTAAATGTACACTTGTTGAGTCACTCGTTGAGTCACTCTAATTTATAAAAAATATATTTGGCTAATTAAACATATAGAGGTATGATGGTAATAAATTACCAGAATAGAAGCAGATGATAAGATTTCACTGCAGGGTTTCGTTTATGGGTTTTCGATGAGGGTTCCATTAACCTGAAGTTAAGTACTCTATATGGATATGACTCTGGCTTTGCTCGATTTTCTCTACTTCAAGACCACTCATGTTTTTTATACTGGACATTTTTTCGAGTAAATTGTTCATATGGTAAAGAATTTCATTTCCTATGAAATGTTCATAATTTCTCCAATCATTCTGCAATGCACTATCCTCGAAAACGGTCCTTTCTCGATATACCATTGGTATAAATTTTGATGATTCAATCGCACGTTAATATACGATTAGGCTAGTTCTTCACTGACTCCGCCTCTACTCTCAGACGCGCTCGATGGCGAAATGCGACAATTGAACGAGGATGTTCATAGTGAACAAATATTGTCATTTAACATTTTGTTAGTGATTCGAAACATTTCGAGCAAAATTTCAGATTATATAGCAAAAGAAAATGAGCGAAAGTCGGCATTTATTCGAATATTTTGTTACCGTTGGATTAAGCGATTCACCCGAAGATTTAACGCTATCAGCAAAAGAGTGTGGATGCCGTAATGCTGCGCCATTAGCACCTATAACCGACATATGTGTCATCTTTCCTGGCCTTGGAGAAACAGTTAGTTCTTGTCATTTCTTATTCATTCCATTGCTTTCTCTGAGTTCACCTCGTAATCTCACAGCGGACTTTGTGATAAATCTGTGAGGAGGAAGATCCACGGGACTAAATTCAGATCTGAGATTGGAGTTTTTTATCATTTGTGTGATTGAGTTATGTCATCAATCTTTCATCATCGAAACGTATACGTATATGAAGTTTTGATGCAGTTATTTCGATTAACTGATGGTTTTGTTTGTTCAGTGATGATGCAGATAAATCCTCTGTAGACAAATTCCTTCCTTCGTTAGTTCAAAGTCTGCTGATCAGTACATATGTTTGCAAGGTGCAGTATCCGAGCTTTCGCAACTCTACTGAAATTTTTTAAAAGTGTCGTATGAAGTAGACACTTATTCCATCGAACGAAGATAGAAAGTTTGCCGTGTGCTTCTACCCTCTCCTCAAATTTATCAAGGTCTACACCTCACTTTCTCCCATTCTCCAGTCTTTGTGTGACTCAGTTTGAAGATCACGCCAGTGCTGTAATGTATTTGCTTATAACCAAGTGACCATGAAAGTGTAAGACATCGCTTGAACTGTCACGTCAGTTGAAGAAATATGGAATAAAGTTGTGTTTTAAGGTGCCAGAAGGATTTGAATGCATAGAGAGTACACCGTCAGGACATCCAGCAGATCTCAATCATGGTTCATTACGCACACCATCGGTGTTCGTGTGTTTTCGACGTGGATATCACAAGCCGCCTCTTGTTGATATTGGTAATTGCGTTTGAATCACTTTAACTTTTTCATTCATCCTAGTTCATTTCAGATCTGATTCATTCATTATTGAGTCGGTTCAATTTTAATGTTTTGAAGGTGTTTTGGATGAAGGTCGAGGTGAAAAACCAATGCTTGATTCGAATATTCTTTCCACAACTCCATTCGGACGTCCAGCGAACGTCAATAATGCGTCTCAAGGTTGCGTTTAGAGGGTATTCTACAGCTCGTTACAATAATTTGATTACTTAACTGAATTTTATAATTCCGCTCCCTTCTCTTCATGATATATTCATATAATTATGGATATATGTCATGCTTTCATCCCTCCGTATTCACTGAGGTGTATCGCATCGTAGTCAAGTGTAACTGTCAACCAGCTTTTGGGAATCTCGGATCACATTCCCTTGCCTTAGGCATCCATCAGTCTCATTACGTGGAAGAAAGACATCACTCAAGTAACTAACGTAAAGTATGATGTGCCGTTCACTGATTCATCACAACTGAATCCAGTAAATTAAAGGTGTTTACTTAACCTATCGTCGGGCACAACCGAACTCAGCACCAAGCCAGTTGGTTGTAACACACATCTGTGTATTATTGGCTAATAAAGGTGAATATGCACCGCATACTTATTATAAAATACCGAAGAATCTCAATAAGGTTTGTGCATTTTTTGTTGGTGCGGTCATTTTGTTTATCTTCAAAAGTGAAGGAATGAATGATTTTTATCACAACATGAAATAGGTTATTCCCATAAGTGACTAGATCCAATTCAGTTTATTAGTTTTGCAATAGATAAAAAAATCTGTATGGTGAGGCAAAAAAATTTGCATCCATTAAAGATTACCTAGTCGAAAATGTCACCGCACTTTTTCTATTACAATGGACAGATTTTTTCGTTTTCACATAGTGTCCCGAGGTTGTCTCAGGCTCACGCTTAGGCAGTTATAATGTTTCAAGGATGTTCTTCATTCGGAGATGTCTAGAATCATCAACTTTTAATCATTGAAGGGAATGGTTGGCTCGGATGTGTATATATGTTATAAGAAATCACAAGGAACGTCAAAACGACTCGCGTACAAGCCAAATGTATTGGATCGGTTCCCGTCCGATCAGGAATTTGCATTAGCACAAAACATACCAATGTTTTGTTTACCAATGGGCGCTTTGATTGAATGTTGGCCAGCCAAATGTCAACCGCCCGAAAAATCATTTTCCACTTTTGTTCTCACTGATCAGGTTCGAAGATTTCCTAGTTGACTGTTCGCTGTAATATGATTTCATTGTTTTATGTACATTAATGATGAATGATTAAGCACGGAAGCAGGTATTATGGAGCGTGTGTGACGTTTTATGAGACTTACAAAGGTAAATTGACTGATGAACAATTGGAGAAACTTGATATAACACCAGCGTTGAGTGCACGTGGCGCTGTGGATGACTCGTCCAGCACAAACGACCCAACTGAACAGGTGCATTCTTAGTGCTAACATTGCAGTTCCTTTCATGACTCTAATACAAATGATTCATTCAATCTATTGATTATTCTATTGAATTTGCAGATGTCGTTTCACAATAATATGTCAATATGCATAATATCAAGATATCCATTCTTCACAGCGTTCAAACGGTTTCTTTTCTATATTCATCGAATGTCAATATCGGGAACGCATTCGGTGCCTATCGAAAGATATATCTCGCATTTGGTAGCGTTTTTAATATCATATGTTCGTTGTCATTGTTTCGAAAAAATCAAACGGTCAGACGAATCAAATCGAAATTCAGATGTACGAAGTGTCATTTCCTTCTCCGCGATGTCCTCGTGTACTAGTACAATTGGGCAATGAAACAATATCACTAGAAAGCCACGATGACTCGCAACTTCCTTTATCTGGTGCTGCATTATTCGATGCTCTCAAATGTTTGGGCGCTGATAACTTAATGTAGTTTTCTTATCGTTATCGTTATCATTTTTATTACTATCGTTTCTGTTGCTGTTATGATCGTCCTTGTTATTTCTATAACGCATTAAATTTTGTGTTACTTAGCATCAAAGCTATCGGTATTAGAATAAGTAGGTTGAGAAGTATCTATTCAATATTTGCTATTTGAATGAGTTGTTAAAAAATATTTGGAGTTAAAACACATTTATTGTTGAGCATGATGATAACATGACTGAATGGATAGTAAAAATGAAAGAATGAAATTAAGGTATCTAATGTTGCTGGCATTACTGGAGCAGAAAATACTGGTGCATTCGTTGCGACCGTGGTTGTTGACAGCCGTTTGTGAGAGCGTATGCGCATTAATGTTTCCATTCCACTGGCAGTGTCCCTACATACCACAGTGCCCCCTTTCACTAGCCGGTGTTCTGCATGCACCTTTACCGTTCATCGCTGGGGTTGATTCTAGGTGAGTTTTTGTACGATGTTCGTGTCGTTGTAAACTGGTGATGAGGACTTGTTTGTTTGACGTTCATATTGCAGATATTTCGATTTATACGAAGACCCTCCAGCTGATGTAACCTGTTTTGATTTGGATACCTCCACTGTCAGTTTCTCGTCAGTGCGACAAACCTATAAGCTCAACGTTTTACCGAAGGTATTGCTGATGTTGTTCGATATTGTACTGCTTTTGATACGACGTTATTACTGTGAATACAAAACTAAATGGAAATAAATAATCCAATTTTCAGCGTGCATCACGACAACTGAAGAATAATTTGGAGAAGTTACATCGCCGTTTGTATCAAGAAGAATTTAACGTGATAACGTTACGTAAAAATATGGACTATATGCCATTGGATGTTGACTATCAAATACAACGCAAGAAACGTATGCTTGAAGTCAGTGTGCAGGATGCTTTTCTTAAGTACGTTTTAATTCGTTATTCCATCTTATTTACCATCATTATCTTCATGATGAATGCTGTATTGCGGTTTGGTCCAACAATTATTGAATTACCTTCAAAGAGAGCATATATGAATGGTGAATGTGAATAGTGTGGATAGCAATGATGGTTCGATGAGACGCTGTAATAAGAATGTAAATGAATGTGATAAATCAGTGCTCTTGCAAAGCAATGTGCTACATTGATGGTTGGTAGCGAATGCTGAGTTTTTATATTGTATTATGCCATTAGTTTTTGTATGATATTTTAGGTTTATGGCATCTTTAATGCATGGCTATACAGCGTACCTGAGGCCGATAAGGAGTGCGCCGAGACGGGTTGGTGATACGGATACGGGGTCGTTATTCGATTTGGATGCTTTTCTTCGATCGCGGGATAGGTTTGTATTTGTTCATAATGATGACAAGTTATGTATGATAATAAGGAAAGTTTAGATCATCGATAGAATTCTTCAAACGTTTTTGTGAGACGCAGTCGTTTAATCGTTTCATCGAAGAACGATCGTTCGTGTCTGATAAGAATGCCTATAACGCGTTCTTTGACGATTGCATTGCTAAGATCAATCCGAACGGTTCGTTTTTACATTATTATTATTTTGATGAGTTATTTTAAATTGTTTGGAAAGATAACATTCATATGCACCTTTTTGAGTTGATCCGAAATGAAAATTAAGATGAGCGGACATTGGAAACTTCGATGCTCGATATGGAGATATCAACGACGAATCAAACTGAATTCACACCTCCACCTGAACCGATGATGGACAGTGATGGTAATGAAATGCAATTCAAGTACGATCACTTTCCACGACACCTCAATCCAGTTCTCTTTCAACTGGATTCACTGAATCGTATATCAAAACGACATTTCGATGTATCATCGGATCGACTCGCTGCAGGTTAATTGGTTATTTCTTAACCATTCATTTGAGCTCAGTTCAACTGAAATTAATATTTGGTTGTTTGATAATAGTTATTGCTAGAAGTGAAACGATTTGGATGGGTGCAAAATGAATACTTTCAATTCATATGAAAATTAAACGAAGTTCATAGCGATGTTTAATCGAGCTAACTAACCTCAAATGTGATATTAGTGATATTGGTGATAACAGAGAGGCATAAACTCGTAATGAGTTTGATTTGCTGATTAAACAAATAAATAAATAAACCTCAGATGATCTAATATTCAAAGAAATATATGAGAAGAAGAAAAGCTGCTCAGAAAAATTACATACGAATTAAGACGACATTAAGAGATGACGAAATTCTGATGCAGAGTAGAAAATGACAATTGAGAGAGGAAAATCATCGTGTTGTTATTGACAATAATCAAGTTACCATTCTTATTGTTGTTGGTATAATTTGCAATATGGTGATGATACTTCAGATAGAATCGGAAGTGCGCTATTACGCACAAAGCAAGAGATACGAAACGCGATCGAGAATGCGGTTCACTCATTAGAGCAAACACAACTCTCATGGCCAAAAACATTACTGTTTTACGCGTATTCTATATGGTTTATGTTGTTACCGTCACTGTTGCATATCGCCAAGTCTAAAGTCAAAATTTTAAAGCTCGCTTTTCACGTAATCTTTTATTTCATTTAATAATTTCAATTTATAATATTTGCATCTAGTTAGAGATCATCGTTAAAAGCATCGTTTGACGTTCGAATGAGTGCAATTTTTGGTTCGAGTGTGTTGATGAATGAAATGTGAAGGTGTTGATTCATGGTGATGAAGTGAAATGTTGTTCAGGTGTTGGATCAGATTGAACAAAGTGGCGTTGCGGTATTGGATCAAGTATGCTATCGAATACTTATTCAGTTGTGTGGTGATTTTGGGCAACCATTATTGGCTGTTAAGGTTCTGCAAGCAATGCAGGTTTGTTGTTAGTAAAATGATATCCACATAAAATTTCAATCTGTTGCATATTCGTTATCTATCGATAAAATTTACTTTGAAATTTCAGCGTAATGGTTTAGAGCAAAATGCAGTGACTTATGGCATTTATCATCAAGCAGTTCTGAATGCGACTTGGCCGGTTGGTAATCAATTAACAGCGATCAAAGCGTGGAATCGAACCGCAATCGTGCTCAGGGCGATCACGCAATTCAGATTCAACTTAGTTATTCAAAAACGAAAACAATCTTTGCAAGTCTCTGATACGGTACGTACGTACATCTTTTCTGTTTGTTGAATTGGTGAGTTTGGTGGATTGATTTGAATTTAGACATCGGCAATGGAGAGCAGTTCATTGAATGAAAAACAAGCTGGTAACAGTGAATCGAAAGAAATTGCTGACGCGAGCAGTGATATAGTGGACGAAGATGAGGTTTGTTGTTCTTATTATTGTTATCGTTGATTTTGAGATTATTTTGTGTCATTGTTTAGTAGATGGCTTATGTGTCTGTGTATCATTATATGAAATTGAACCGGTTTGTATCAAATTGAGCCTGATCAAAAAATCAATAGTGATATTGTTGGATGATTTTTACTGCTGCTCGTTCCACTGTTACTTTTCATATTTGTTGTTTAGTGTATTGAAGATATGAAAGAATTGAGCTAAGTCAAATGAATTTATTTACATTCAGGAACAACTTGAAACAGCACCGTTTGTCATTAGCGTACATCCATTGGAAAATAATGAAACCGAGAATGCGACCCCAGAAATTGTTAGTTTAATTGATTGATTCATTAACTGATCTGTTCTTATATGAATGATTATTGTTATTAATATTGATGTGAGTATTATTATCATTGTCGTTAATTTGAAATGGGTAAAGATGTTAAATTTGAAGGTCATTGAACAAGAGAATGCAGCAGAGGATGCTCAAAACGGTCAAGAACTAGATCCATTGGGTGCGTTGAGTATCGATAACTCTGATGCGAATAAAACAACTGAATCACAATCAGGAGCATCAATATCAAAAAAGAGATCAGAGCAAATCAATCAAAAACAAGAATTTATGAGTCCCAGTCGTGCGAGATTCATTCGTGAGCATAGCGCCTCACCATTCTCTCAAGAGGTAGGCATCGTTCATGCCTCCATTATATTAGACACCTCATTTCATACATTCATTCAGTGAGCTTTAATAATGTGCGTTTATATTCAATATGAATATAATTTGATGATGATTCAGTCTCTTTCGAAATGAATTTTACGGCATCGCTGAAATGTTGTAATAATAAAAATGTCCTCATAAATCTATGATCATTGATTGAAGAAATGTTATGGATAAGTGAATGATTGAGTTCGGATTTTTTACAATAAATCTGTTTGCTGTTAGAATATAATCCGAGCGTTGAACGCTGATATTTTATGAAGTAACAGGCCATATCAGTAAGCATTTTTTTTATCTCTCATCATTTTAGGTTCCTACTCAAGAGGTTGATAATATGAAACGAACTGAAAGGTCGTCGTCATGGTTGAAGGGTCTTACAAGTAGTCCTATAATAAACAAAATTATGCGAAGTCATACCACAAGTTGGTGCTTTTGTAACTGCGATCATTTTTTATTGTCATTGTCAATGTTGATTTTATTTTGTCATTCCGTACACTTGAAGTAAGCAGTCTTGTGCGTTTATTTTGAGAATGAACAGAAGTTAAATGTTCAGATAATTTGGATACATCGAATGATGCGAATGGAACCGTCGCATCGTTGACAATATCACCGAGTTTGTCGTCGTTGGTGAGTCAAGTGAAGAAGGGATATGACGATGTGATACAGTCGACGAATCTATCAACACGACTACGTGATGGAGTTCATTCGTTGGTGAATGAAATGAAAAGTTTGAATCGTTCCTACAACACCAACAATACATCGTCGCATTTTTCGAACGCGATGAACGACACTGCGCATTTGAATGGACGAGATGAAAATGATGAAATCTTATTCAGAGTTTGTTTCTTTAAAATCCATTTTATCAAACATTTATATCTTTTTTTGAGATTATTTGAAGTTCATTCCTCTATGATAGCGATTGTGAAGCGATACGATAATTGTTCATTTGAAAAAAAAAAGAAAAAAAGTCGATCAGATACACAAATATTTCGATATCTGCGTTGAGACAATGATCAGCGAATTGCTTAGCAGAGAAGGATCACTCAGTAGTGACAATAACCGATCGGATTTTGCTTTTGACAGTTGTTGCTTTTCGTATGATTACCGAAGTTTAATAATGGTTAGTTCCATTGGATTCCAATTTTCGATTGGTTTTCATCACTTTTTTTGCAGTTTGTTTCGCGGTGGCGCTTCGTGTGATTGAGTGTTGAATAATTTCAGGAGATGTTATGCGATGAATCGTCATTATTTCAACTGGACACAGGCGCGTCTTGTTCGATAGTCCCCGTTGAATGGTGGTTGAGCGATCAGATTTACTCACCGTCCAATATACCGGATGGACCAATCGATGTGTCTATTTCATCTGCGTCCTTGTGTCCCAGTTGTAAAACGGTCCGTTTGTTCATCAACATTGTTCTGACTAAGAAATGGAAATGCAGTACACGAAAGGACTGAATATAAGAGATGAGAGTTTGAGTGAGCATTGCCGAATAATTGTTCACTCGTTAACTGATGTTAACGTGAATTGTTTAAACGGATTTGAAACTCATTAGTATTCGTTTTGTTAATGTAACATATTCAGATGGTATACGATGAAGAGTTGATGGCTGGTTGGGCAGTGGACGAATCGAATCTGAATACGTGCTGTCCATTTTGTGAATTCACTTTCGTGCCATCGCTGACCATCAAAATACGAACCCGATCAACACCAGTCCAATCCAGTTGGTATTATCCGTCAAATTTTCAATCGTCTTCAAACAATCGCCACAACAATTCCAATAAATCACCATCACCATCCAATATTGACCACTCGCCATCATCAGATTGCATCAACACGCAACTTTCTGTTTGTTTCATTTATGTCTCTCACTCTAATGTCATTTCACTGTTTACTTCGTTGTGTTATTGTTGCAGTGGGAATCAATTTGATTAATTCGATCCAAATTGTGATAAAATTTCAAAATGTGAACGAAGGGAATCAACTAACGTCGATTTAAATTAGTATTAATGTTATCTCACTGCAGTTCTTGATATTTCGCTTGTTTGTATCTGCTATCAGAAATCTATCAAGAACTTTTATGATTTAGTTTTGTGATGGATCGAAATTGTCTGAATGAAAAATATTGCCTACAAATGTATCAAGTGATCATTTTTTAGTAATGACGATGCTGTAATCAAGTTGTAAATGATAGGATTGTAAATTCAGGTACCGTTCGTAAGTCCGCTGGTGTTGCGTCGTGAACTGGAGAATTTATTGGGAAATGATTATTTATCAGCGATATCGTCATCGTTGAGACATTCACATCCAATAATCTATTGGAATGTTCTGTATTATTCACGAAGACTCTCGTTACCGACGCATCTGTGTTCATGGATTGCGTTGAATGTGCACGTGCGTTGTGTTTATGACGTTGCCGAGATGCACTCTAGCAATACACCGCTCTACTTCGCGAATCCATCACATCATGTCAGTTGTATCGTTTTATTTCATTTGTCATTTGATGCGATTGGCTGAGAAACTTGTTTAGTTCTCTTCAAAGATCTGAGATCTGATGGCAGAGTTGGCGTGATTTTTGAGTGATGATTCCACTTATCTCTCGTGCTCATGAGCTTACGATTAGTTTGCAGTATTGTTTGTCCTTGAATTAGCCGTCGAACGCAGCCATCAAATGAAATATTTTTCTTTGGTTAGGATTGTCAGAGTATAAATGTTATTAAAATTCGACAACAGAATGTCACCGAATGAACGGTAGTGCTGAATGATGTTTTAGGATGGTTTATTACCGACGAGTGAGCGTCCACTGGCAGTATGGCAGCACGTGGTCGATTCACTGCAGCAGTCAAGTATATTGCGTGCTCTTCAAGGTTTATTGACAGAATACAGACGTGTCAATGATGGCGTCAAAATACGAAGTCATTACGCTCTTTTTAGGTTGATTTTATTTTTATTTCAAATTTATTCATTCATCTGTTTATCACTGAAGAATGGTAACAAGTTAAAAGTTCATAGTCCTTTAGTGAATTGCATTCTAATTGCATATTCGACGTTCATTGATCATCAATTGGATGTGCTCTGAGATATCTATCTCTCACCTATACTTTCATAATCAGTGAATTCGACTGAAAGAGTTAAAAGTAATGAGAAAATTACCTTTGATGTTATGACCTTAGGATGCGCGGGAGGTACGTAGAATGAGAATAATAAGAGAGTGAGAATATAAAATATTAGAGGGAATTTTCTCATTTCTTTAACGCTTTCAATTGAACTTCAAAATGCGCATATCCTCAATCGTTTATAATTATATTCATGAATTAATTCCGTGATTAGTAGTGAATTGAAAAAGGATGATCGTAATAATGCAAATGCAATTGCAAATCGTTCAGAGATATTCAATTCACGGCATTGGATCGTTTTGGTAGTGCGGTGGATCGTGATCAACTGGACGTGCAGTACGCATGTGACTTCGAACGATTACCACCTCGCATTTTGTCGATGCTGAGCGTAGAGGATTATCCACCGAGATTGGTGACACGCGCTTGTAGAAAGATATTCTTACCACTCGATTTGATATGATTTGACTAGATATGGTTTGGTTTGATTCACGATTGATGCATTTCACTCTATCACATCCGATGATCTAATGCTTGAGAATGTTTTGTAAAATGCTTCTTCTTGATTGTGAGTTACTTCGCTTAAAACTTCTTGCGGGTCTAGTTCAGCATTAGTTTGCTTTATTTAGAAATGAGTGTGAGAGACTGATTCTGATTGCAGTGGTATAAAACATTGATTTGCCTTAGTTTTTAGTGTGATGATTATTATTTTTGGATTGTTTTATTTGAGTTATGCTTATGTTCAGTTCAATTTTCGGTGCTCATCTTATCGAAATGATCTCGATTGTGGTGTGATCGTGTATCACCAATCACCCACAAGTTCATTCGAGCCATTTATTAGTTGCAGTTAAATTGTTCACCGCAAATGACCATACATATCCCATGATGAGTTACTTCTTATGCTACTTCGTGAAGAAAGATAAAATATCAGTTTGGCTTATTTCGACAGCGTACAGCACGATATGTTAATATAATGAACGCTTCTATTATGAACAGTTTTATAGTCAGATGTTTATTAATGATAACAGGTCAACTCCATGTGTGTTATATTGCAGTGTTTGTCAGGTATACGGAAAGTTGATGCATTTCACTGGTTTTGTCATCTATTGTGAATATTCATTTTTTGTTCACATTGTAATTCTTTAAGTAACTCATTCTTATTAAGTATTTTCTGTTAATACTTTTATAATTGTTGCAAGTATTTCAGTATTATTCAGCCCTTGTAATTGTAATTCATTGTTTGCTTCCATCAAATAATTTTCTTCGATATTTTTGTCGCTTTGTCGCTGTGTTATCTTTTTGAAATTATTCAGAGTTATTCTGGTTTTGAATGCAATTGTTTTATATGCCATTATCTTTGTTCATTCGTCCGTTTTCCGCTGTGTAATATAAAAATATGAATTTCTCGTCGTTATGATTATTATTCTGTGATTTTTAAATGTTGAGAATCATTAATGTTTCCATCTTAAATGTTGATAAATCTTTAGCTTCAAATTGTGTTTTGTTTCGTCTCAAATACTCATAAAAATTGGCAATACCAGTCCTGTATTAATATTTTTTACAGTTGATATATCATACAATAAAATACGAATGGATAGAGTATTGCTAAGTTTCAAAATTGTTTCAGTGTGTGAACTATAACTTCGAATATTTTGCTAATCGCCCGTTAAAGAGGTGATTAGTGATGAATGAATATCCTGGAAGAGGTCCTCATAAACGAAGCAAATTTGAAACAGATACACAAAGACAACGCAACAAGTTAGTCGATGACTTGTTGGCAGCGTTAACATTTTGGAATGTGAATGTAGATATGTATCAGTGATAGCTTCTGAATTTAAAATTTGTATTCGATGGAACCCATTTTTGCAGTTCCGAAATTCGATAATTAGAGAAAAACCAAAAATTGTCAAAATCAAGAATACATGCAGTGTTGTGTACCTGAGATGAGCACTATGTTTTGAAGTTAGGGGAGTGAGTGTATATGGTGGTGTTGGCACGTTGAGTTGCGTAGTGGTATTGTTAGTCGTTTATATTTCCAGACAAAATCTCATCATATTGGAATATGTAGTTGGAAGGGCAATGTTGAAAGGACTCCAATTACGAGTACGGTTTAATTTTTTAAGTGCCTTCAGGTTTAGTTACGCTTTTTTTGAGTTGTGGTTTAGTTTTTATTATATTCATTAAAGTACGTTGAGTAATTGTTTATCAGTCGTCGCGAATCGCATCGATGGGACTACCTCAGTCGGATGCTCATTACTTCTATCCTGAAGAAGCAGTGTGGCTGATGGAATGTGCAATGGGCTCAGTGGTTCACAATGGTATTGCGTTATCGGTACAACAAGGTTCGTTTATTCACTTCGAACGGATTTCAATCTATTGACAGCTCGAATGAATTTAGTACAGATATGTGATTAAGGATATCGTTTGCTCGAATCACACGGTATAACTTGGCCTCAGTATGCTGTATATTGTTATTTGAAGTGTGCTGGATATGTGGTGTTACCTTATAAGTGAGTTATTCACTTATTTGATTAGTCATCTGCGAACAATTCATTTTGATTTATTTCTCTGTTAAACTCATTTTACATTCGAAGTAGTGAAGGTAATTGACCGAAGTTACATCGATAGAATTCGACAAAATTCGATCGCATTGCGACCGAATGATTTTGAGGTGCGGTTGGCATATCGAATATCGCAATCTCAGAAAATGATTTCGGTTGGATTCCGATCGGACTGAAGTTTTGTTCGGTAGCCATCATTGAATTGCAACCCGTTCGCTTATGTGAATGGAATGCATCGCAAAACAGCGAACCGTTCCGTTCTATACAAAGCGTTGTTTTTTTGCTACAATGGTATTCTGCTTGACAATTATGCAGTATGATTGATGTGCTCTAGAAAAAGACCGGACAGTGATTAATACCTTCATGTAGCAATGGACATACAAACGAAAATATAATAAAGTTAGTTCTATCGTGATGCCTAAATGCCTCTCATAGCGTACAATACAACTTTTGAATGCAGAGCTGATGGATAGCTCTGCTCTGCTCCGAATCCGGAGGAATCCGAATTCGAAAATAGAATGTCATACCTTAGCTGCGGCTAACGGATGTTGCCGTGATATTTTTTGAGGGAATCAAGAATTTTGTTGGCTCCAGAGCCTTTGCAATAATAATTTGGACTCATCTCATGCACGCATCCTTCAGACATTTCAATGTAGCTGCACATATCCGTATTGATAATAGCTAATGAAAAAGTCTTAAAAAGCCACTTGTCAATTACTAGCATTGTTTCACTCGATTTCAAATGATAGAGTAATTGCACTTTCAGTCGGATAACATCATTTGAACATTTGAACACCACCCACTTAACAGCAGTACCAACAGCCTCAACGAGCAATGCAATTGCAACTGACGAGAATCGTCTCAAATTTCCGTCAGATTTACTGCAAAAATTTCCGACGATGACCAGAGAACGGCGTGTCATCAACTGCGATATAGTCAGCAAAAATGATTCTCCAATCACAAAGATTTTCAACATCTCCGAAACGTTTCCCACATCAGTGAATCGATTCTTCAAAATCGATCGCAAACACATCCATCGAGTTTGTTTCAGTTTTATAACACCAATTTCATTCACCCGAAATTCGCCTCGCTTCCAGTCCCACACAGAGCTAAGACTGGAAGCGGTGAAATTCTCTACCGAAGCAGTGCCATCACACTTTGGGGCATTTTTTTTTNTTTTTTTTTCGGCGGAGGAAGTTCGCTCTCTTGGATCGTCCTCGTCGTGCATTTCGAGAAAAGTATGGAAAATAGAAAATTGGATATTGTAAGAACAAAGCAAATTTTACAATATCATATTGAATTGCGAACAACACAATTCGATATTAACATAAAACGAACGATCAGAACATTCCATCTTTAGTATTTGAACTGCCTCAGAAGTAATTTGATGAACACAATGCGACTCACAAAGTGAACGAAAAGATAGGATGGGGTATTACTCATCGCCGTAAGCACTGCTTAGCGATGGTCCGCACAAAAAAACCTCTTACTTCATCTCAGCTGTAAAGCGATTTTTGCTTCAAGACGAGGGAGTATCGTTGCGAAATGCAAACAGAATAATTGACTCACGAAAATGTTGTTTCATGAGTACGTCAGACCTCGTTATTGGCCACGATTCGACGCGATCGCGAAAAATTCATCGAATTGGGTCATTTATCGGGCAGAACGAGCCAAGTTGCTCAACAAGAATAAGACCGTCTCGGCGCCTCCTGCATCACCCTTCCCTAATCATTTCAACAATGAGTAAGTCTCCACAGATCTGCTATCACATCAGATGAATGAATAATCCAATTTCTGTTATTATTATCACTCTCACTACTTAGATATCGCATGAACGAACAAATTTCTCGTAAATTTCAGTGCTCAGTTGAAGCCATTCTTGCCATCGTCTTCAGCATCGTTATGGAACGCGAATGCTCTTGGAATTGATTTAGATTATAGCGTTTATGCCGGTGATGGTTCATATAAACACACATTGGCTGTGACACCACTTTTTCTTATTTTAGTTGTCAACAAGTACGTTTGTTTTGTTTTTTCGCACTCTTAATTGTGCGCTGGCTGATTCACATAGTGAATGGGATGTGTGTGAGCAGAACGGAATGGCGATTGTAATGGGATCTCGAAGATGGGACTGAGAGGGCAATACGAGGGTAGTGTTCACAGTTTGGATTGGATGATGTAATGCTTGCATAGGATATTAATGATTTGTGGCTTCTTTAAGTTGGGAGGAATGCTAACAATTAATTTTTGGGGTTTACAATTTTGTTTATTCGTTTATTTGCTTATTTATAGACAGTTGTGAAATGGAATGTGTATGTATGTACGTGTGTTAGTGAGCAACTAAATGAATGTGAGCTGAGGTGAAACGAGGTAAGCACGTGGGTGTTTGTTACAATGTGGATGAATGAACGTTTCGTTTTTTGTGCTTTGACCGAGCAGTTGACGAATTTTGAAAAGCAATCGAAACACCTTTTCACACTCATCTCTTTATATCATCTACCTCATACAGTTTGTATTATGCAATTGTGCACTTGGTGCATAGCGCAAAACATAGCGAACACTTCACAATTATGAACTTATCCAAACACATGATAATAATTTCATCGCAATTTTTGCTTTAGCTCATCACTGTTGCATCTGATTGCCAGTTAGCAATGTAAAATATACAATCAGTTGGTGATCGTCATACATTCAGAGTGTTTATGTGTCATTTTGCTTATTATAACCATCAGAAATACTTATTTGACTCAACAAATACATACATCTCACCAAAATTATTTACCCCTTCGTCTGTTTATTTTTCAAATTATTTGCTTTCTTGCAGGCTTTTTCGCGTTTTATTGCAAACGCTTCAGGGTAGCTAGGCTAAAAGCGTTATTTTAATGTCAAAATGGCTGAAGTAATCTCAAATGAATCTGCTAATCCATTAACATTTAATGAAAGATTTTGGAAGAATGCGTAAAGAATTGAACAAATAATGGATTTATCAGATGTTTTGCGTTATGTTGGAGTTTGTTGTGATAATAAATGAATGAGTTGCTGGTTGAAGAAGTTGATATGGCCAAGTTGTATACACTGTTTCGTTGAACGTCAGCTGTGGAATGCTGATGCTGCCGATCATTTTATAGGGTTGCAATAAATTAGCTGAGCATAACGATAATGAAGACACTGATGAAGTGGTTATTTTGACACTAATCGTAAGTGAACTAAGCAAATAAAATGTTCGCTTAATTNATGAATTCGTTTATTTGACATGTTTGATGTTTGTATGTTCACAAAAGATTGCTGCATTGCAAATAAATTTTGTTGAGAGCATGTGAAAGTCTCTGCGTTGTTCTTTGAATTTGCTCGCAATATTTGGTCTTAATGCAACATGAGTCGTGCAAGTCAGCGTATTGATAATCTCAGAAACAATGCAATGCACCACAGAAATTCTGTTAAGACATTCAAAGTCACTGTCCAATGACAATTGTATATGTGGTATTATTTGATATACAAAATGAACTTTTATTATTCGAGTGAATTAAAAACAAAAAAGACCGATAATTGATTTCGAGTAGAAATGGGGAAGTATTTTATCACTTGATTGAGTTGATCATCATGAATGCAACTTTATCGCAGTGCACTAGACGTTTGATTGATTAAGTATTTATTTGCGGAAGAAACAACGCACGCAACTGAAGAATATACATATTTTCGTTGATATTTAAATCCTTTAATGATCAAATAGGCAAAAGAATACTGCCGATAATACAGAATAAGCATCCGTTCAATCTTTATTTTCGCTGAAATGTGGGCGAATTAATGAGTGTTATTCGATCGGACGGACGATTGGCTTCGTTCATTGAGAGAGCAGTGAAAGATTACAGTTGATATTTTTATTTTGAAAAAAAAAGTACTCGTTCAGTGGGTCTTGAAAATAAATTGGTAAGTCAACACCACATAATGATGATAACAGCAACACTGAACTGGCAGTGAGCATTTGTTATCGCATAATTAAAATCAGTTTTGGAACGTTTGAAGGCTCATTTCGAACCCCATTGCAGATTGTTTTTGAGGTGAACTGTGAAAGAGTTGTTTTTGTAAAGTGGTTCGATTGTATCGCTGAAATGATTGCATCGGATAGAGAACAATATCAGAATAGAGAACATTCAAATCATACACCAGTTTATGCACATTTCAACAAGCATTCTACCAAAGTTTCGAAATGCTCCATTTGAAGATGTGAACTGTTGACGTTCCCATTAGACAATTGAAGGATGTTTCGAAATGCTCTTCATGTAATCTGAGAGCGAGTGGATATAGTAAAGTGCAATCTTTGCAGAGTACATTGGATGGGTATGTGTATATGCAATAATAACAATAACAATAATAAACACAAATGAATGAATGATAATGATAAGGATAGGTAAGAAGATACAAAAAGGTATATGATGTAATGCAAGAATAAAAATATGTGCTTGTTTGAAGAATTTGTGGGGATATATGCAACGAGGCGGACGGATTGGCTGTATTGAAGGGGCGATGCAATCGTTGGCTGAAATTATTTTTAGAGTTTAGAGCAGACACTGGATTTTGTTTGTATAATTATGCAAGAGTGGATGCACACTCGAGAGATTCAGAGACTAGACTCAAGCTGAAGCTGAGGTTGAGGATGAGATTGAAGAAGCAGCAGCAGCAGCAACATTCCACATAACACCTATCATCTAGCAACATCCAGCTATCGTCCGCTCATCGTGCATCTCTAACAAACTCACTAGAGCAGTATCTATTCGTCATCCTACAAACAACTACTCACTCAACCAAGTTTTATGAAGAAGGTAGCAGTAGCCAAGTGAATGCGATATGACATATTCAATTCTACTTTATTGAGATCTGCCCGTGTCTCTATCATCTCTAGCAGTAGCATTATCAGTTATTATCATCCGTTCTAACCATTCCACCAGCCAGATTCAAATCTCGATCCGAACTGATATTATGCTCATTGCTGACTTATACTAAATCACTGCATTGTTGTGTTGTGTTGCGTTCTTCAATCGTTTCATCATTCTCCTGCTTCAGTTCGACTGGTCCTGGCTTGGGCTTACTGTCGACCGATTACTGATAACTGTTAGCATTTTACTATGTGGTCTGAACCACCGCCGATACTTTAGTCCTTTATAATTCTTGATCAGACGACGAATACGTTCATTGCCTATCTTCATATCTGATCTTACGAACACCGGTGCTCCGAGCCCCTGGTTGGGCTTCAGCTGTCGGTTACGTAAACGTGCTTGTTACTTTATTATTACCTTAACCGATACTAATTGTTATTATTTATATTGAATCGCCGTTTGTTGATACTGTTATTACTGCATATTCATAATGCCTGGAGCACCTCGATTCACCAAGAAGCCATCCATCCAGCAGACTCCGCAAGGAGATCTACTGATGGAATGTCATCTTGAAGCAGATCCATCCCCAGATATTGTATGGCACCATGCCGGTACGCCAATTTCAGCAGGTCCTCGTGTTACGCTAACACTGACCAATTTGCAAGATATTCTCTACAAGGCAGTTCTTATTATCAAAGTACGTCATGTTATTCGCTTATTTAATAATATTGCCATATCACACCTAATGAGCATTCGTTCTTCATTCATTTTTTTCATTACCCCGTTCTCACATGTTCTGCCGTAGGCATTTTTTTGAAAAGTTCAAAAATAATGCACCACATTCATATATTCGCGGTATGATGTGTTGCGAAATTGTTATTGAGTTGGATTGAGCTAAGAAGTGGGACTTTTTAAAACAAATTACTCATTGGATATAGAGCAAAATAAATCTGTCTTTTTAACAGTTGTTATCTTATCGGTAATGATCGCCGTTAGTTGGGATTTATAGCATTCCCATTGCAAATCTCATCGTTTGATTATTGACGGGCATTTGTTCGAAACTTCAAAACGCCTCTTCCACTTTACTGCAGAGAACACGTTTTTGTTTGTTGTTCAAAATTTCAGTTTATGATCAAGAAACGATACTGATTTCTATGCTCGTTGCCGAGCTGCTGCATCATTAGCAAATTAATCATCATTCGCACTTAAATCAGCCACCATAGATGAAATTTGATAGGTTTACGATAGAACATGATGGATTATCGTCGTAAACTCTACTTTACTAGAGCAGTTTCATTGATTAAGTGGGATTACATTGTGCGATCCGTTTGCTTGCTCAAAGTTTGTGATGAGGTCACTTGAAGGGGAGTGCAACAATAAGCCGTTTGTAATCACCTGACTAGCGCATAGGTAGACCGTTCACCGTTAACGAGTAAATCAATCATTCACGAGTGGATAAATATCTGCAAACGAGCGATCGATTTCAATAATCGGCCAAAGTTATCAATATATGAAGAATTTCATATGGCAGTAATCGCTTTGTGATACATTCCATAATGTTAATTTTTGGATTTCACGAGCATTTGAATCCCATAAAGCAGAAGCAACTTTATAATATACATTCATTCACCCTACCTCGTTCAAAAACGTCTGAATCAACTACCCTTTATCAACAATACCTCATATTTTGCTAATCCCCTGATCCATGCATGATTACGATAAACCTCAAAGGCAATCGCATAAATTAGCTTCGAATTTCAAACTCTAGTGTGCAGTTTTCATCAATTGAGATGCCGTCTTGCTATCAGCGATTTTTTGTCCGAAATTTTGGAAATCACTTCGGTCGAATTGAATATTTATTGTTGAAATATTAAACGGGAATATTCATCTTACTGGATAACTTACTTTGTGTAAATGTGGTATGATAAAATAATGGACTGAACAAAGTCAGTAAGTTGATTTGGATTGTAAAGTAAACGAAGATCAAAACCGATTGTGATAGATGTGTCGCGGTGAAAAGATAAATGAATAGCAGTAATGGAGTGCTTTGTTGACAGTCTCTTGGATTTTTTAAAGTTTAGAAAGTAAATTCATCCAGTTTCAAACAAAAAATTATATCAATCAACTAACGAACAACACATGAATCATTCATGCAACCGTTTCATATAAATCATTGACTTGGCATCGCTGAACACAACTGTTTTCTGCAGTTTTTCGAGCGAAAAAAATACATCTCAGCATGTGGTGAAAACAACATTCGTGAAATAATGACTTACTATCGGGAGATGCTGCTGCTGCTGCTGTTGCAGAGAGATATGTGGATGTAATTTTTGGTTGTTTCGATGATCTTATTTCATTTTAGGAACCGAGTGTGGGCGATGGAGGAGCGTATAAATGTACAGCAAGTAATCAGTTCGGTGAATCAAATGCAAATATTAACCTCAATTTCGCAGGTTCGATCCTTATTGAAGCGATAATCAGTTTTTGCTTGTCGCATAAAATTCACATGATTAAAGATGAACGTAAAAGTAGACGCAGAGCGGGATTTTATGCTTGAAAATTTTCAATCAGTGTTTAATCGCATCGAAAAGAAGCAATTTACATAGCATTCGTTTGGCTCTCTTCTTTCAAAAATTCTCATCAAACCGATATTTGAGATAATCATTTTGAATATTTCAATGGCATTATTGTCTCACGAGTTCATCATTAATCAGCAAATAAAAATCGCATTATTTTATCAAATTCTATCCGTTCAATCGTGCCAAAAGCAAAGAGTCATTACCATTGCCTTGATCTGCCTGCAACTATGCATCGCCAACGTATATCTCTTCTCTCATTCCATTCAAACGGCTTCACATAATCCACTCTTCAACAGCAACACATGGCATTATTTCGAAACTCCTCCGCACTATTCATTACTCATTCGCTCAAATTTTTTGTTTATTTTTTCACTTGCATCAGCTGCTTTCATTCGGTCTTTCTACACATCAAGAGCAGCGAACAAAAAAAAGAAGATTAATTTAGCAAGATATTTCTGCACATCTTAACATGTACATAAATTTTACCTCTCTCCATGTGGGAAATTTTCCTCGTTAATAAACTCGTACCCTGAAAAGTGTTGAAAATCAGATTGGAACACTGCTGGATATTGTTGAATGAAAATATCTGGAGCTTAAGCGAAACGTGAACGTAAGGCTGATAACCTCAGCTCAGTTATTGGTCTCAGACTGAGCTTAAACTCATCTCAATCTAGTTCGAATTCTTAAGATTTCGACAATTTCACGATTTTCCTATTAAACGGTGTCAAATTTGCTAGTTAGGCTCGTATACGGTCTCACAAACACCTTACAAACAATTTATGTTCTTTTTTCGGGATAATAAATATGTTATCTTTTCGAAACAAGAAGTAAGTTAACAATCTATGTGTCCTTTTTCGGGATAAAAACTATAATCTTTTTGGAAGGAGAAATTCGTCTTACTGCACAATAACTGCGATTTTCGTCTTATCTCTGCATCGAACTGCTTTATGTACTTCAAAAGTTTTAGCTGTTGAACTGAGTTGAAAAGTTGAAGTAATTCAAATCATTTCGTTACCATAAATGAGATTAAGCCTAATCTCATCATCAAATGATCTTATCTTTGCATCATTCCAATTCTCATTGTTCTTGTGAAGCAAATGAATTGTCGGTTGTTCCAACAAATTACAAAGTATCGCACCCTCAAACAGGCACCAATAATGAACTGATCAAAGAGAAATAATAATTGAGCAGCAATTCATTTGTTTCACTGATTAGCACATCACATTCAGGTGGCGCAGATGATCAAAAGCCAAGCAAAGGACCAACGTTTTTGAGTAAACCCAAAATAATACCAAAAGATGGCGGTGCATTGGTGGTTATGGAATGTCGTGTGAAGAGCGCATCAACGCCAACTGCACAATGGTATAAAGATGGCGCGGCTATCTACGAGAGTTCGCTTTTTAAAGTCGTTTATACCGATTTGGGCGATTCACAGCATCTTTTTCAACTCGAAATTCATGTTCGTTTTCATCATTGCAATTCTCGTTATTTTATATTTGATGTTTGTTTTATTCGCGTTGATATCATCTGGTTAACTGACAAAAGAATCATTTACCTGATGGAGTTGTACATGCGATAGTTTGCTCAATGAATTGATATGAGGTCGAAAAACTGGGATTAGCTTCGAGCTGAATGTTCATTGCGATATAATCTGTGGCAGTCATTTCACTGGATGGAGCAAAGAATGAAAGCGCTAAATTCTAAAGTGATATCTTGTAAAGCCCTAAATTAGAGTGATATCTTGTAAAAATATTAATGCTGAACTGTCAAGAGCGCTACGGCGAGAATTCGATTCAGGGTCCATCGGCTGGTGACGCGGGACAATACCGTTGTAATATAAAGGATGATCAAGGTGAAACCAATGCGAATTTAGCACTTAATTTCGAGCAAGACACTGAAGAAAGACAGGAGAAGAGTGAGAAGCGGGAGAAGCATTCAGCATCACCAAAACCCACTTCACGGCCAGGTTCAGTTCATTTTCTGCTTCGTCACGGTGACAGCTTGAATACTGAACGGAAGCACTCATTAACGGCTATGAATTGCAGGCACACCAAAGAAGCAAATGAAAAGTCGTGAAGGGACACCAAAGAAATCGTTGAAGTCTCGAGAAGGAACCCCCAAAAAGTCGGTTCGTTCGAGAACCTCAACGCCAGTCAAGGAAATGGAAAAAGCAGATGAAACCACAGCACACAAAGCACAAGTCGGCGATAAAACGGATATGAAAGATACGATGAAAAGCGAACGAAGTGAATTAGAGGATGCAGATAGCGCTGGTGGTCAGATAAAGGGTAAACCACCAAGTGGTAAAATCACTGAGAAAACGACCGAGATGGTCAACGGTGCTGAATTTAAATCAGCACAAAAACGCTCGGAGAAAGACGGCCAAGTAGTTGAAGAACGCGATGCAAAGACACGAAAGAAGGCCGCAGACAATGTTGAGAAGTCAGAATTGGAACAAGCGGACGATAGCAAAATGGACGTTGATGCACGTTAGTTGGTTTGATAGTTGCTTCATAAATGAGAATATTCCATAGTTTGTAATAATAAGTATCCGCTTTAATTCATAATCGAATAAGATCACAGTGGAATGAGATTCGAGTAATCGTATCTTGAAAGAGTATTTTTCAGAAAATGTAAAACGAAAAAGTGAAACAACATTGCCGCTACCGGGTGAGAAGAAAGCTCGACAGCGAAGTAAGAGTCCATCGAAGAGAAGATCCAAATCGAGATCAAAGAGTCCATTCACCGAATATGAGGAGATCAGCACTGATAAAGCTAAATCGACCTCAAAGCGTGCACCTGTGGTACTTGAACCAGCCAAATCGAAGGTCTTCATTCTTCATTAACCCTTCATTCATCCAGTGATAACTGCACACAGTTTCGTTCAAAGCTGCTCTCTCTTTATTAGCAATATTAAAATGAATTTTTAATGTGTTCTATTTGCAGGTGGCCAAAGAAGGTGAAACAGTCGTATTAGAATGTGAATTTCAGTGCGATCCCTCAACTAAAATAGCATGGGTCAAGTACGTTTAGCGCTTCATTCACGTTCAGCGATTGTTGATAATGACACAATACGACTAATCTATCATTTACGATTTTAGATATAATTTTATATTGGCATGATGTTATGATGTTGAGTTAAATTGTAATATCATGGCAATAAGATCAGAATCGAGAAAATCGAAATGAACAGGGAGATTAGAGGGAAGAATTCATGATAAAACGAGTCACAACAACGATAGTGATAATAAATGAATTCAGAGATGGACGTGAGATAAAGCCTTCAGCCGAATTTCGAACATTTTTCGACGGTCAAACAGCTCGTTTGACAATAAATCATATGACTGAAGATAAAAGTGGTCTATTCAAATGCAATGCGCTTAGTAAATTTGGTGAGGCACACACATCAGCAATGGTGAAATTCGAACATGGTGGTTTGTTGCTTATTTGTTGATTGCATGTACACAAGTAAAATATAATAGTTATAACGGTAGGTAACTTTTATTAAGAAGATGAATATGATCCTCGTAAAAGACATCGTGAAAGTATTGCTGAAATAGAGGAACGACTGATGGCTGAGCATAAGAAGGCTGACGAAGCGAAGAAGAAAAGGAAACAAGAAGAGTCGAAGATGCAAATACCGAATACAATTGTTACTGATGAGGATGGTTTGCGTTCTCAGGCTGAGCTGGTTCGTTTCAGTCCCTCTTGACCGCATTCAATATTGCTTTTTCTGAGATTTGCATTGCTCATGTCGTTACTCCAATAACGTGTAATTGCAAATTTTGAAATGAATACTGCACCTAGTTTGAGGTGCATGACATCTGAAATGTTACAAGCCTTCATGAATGGTGTAAAATAACTCGAAAAATGATTCAATATTGCAGATGGATATACCAATCGGTTCAACGGGTGACGCAGGCGATGAGGTTAGCAAATGAATGCAATCGTTTAAATGAAACAAATGAATGTTCCGAATTGATCATACAGCTACATTCAATAAATTGAAATTTCATTACTCACAAAAACATGCAACTCTATTGAAAAGCTAAAATAACAGTTTGTGCTGAATGAATGCTACTGGCACATTTTGAAGATTCAAAAAGACTTCGTTCTGTTTACTGATTTCACCGGTTCTTTTCACCATCTTATTTACACAGACCACTTGGAATGTGTTATGGTGAAGACATGAGAAAAGACTTTATTAGAAAAAAATTTTTATACTGGAATATAATATGGTTGATTGAATGAATGAAAAAAAAANAAAAAAAAACAATAGCATGCTGAAGAACGTGTTATATTGACATAGTATTAATTAACAAGTCAAGGTGTCAAATTTAATTTCAAGTTAACTATTATAATTGTTGATATTAACATTCATATTCTTGAATCTTGAAACATTCATATTCAGTTACAGTCTTCTACCTGATTTTTCATATTCATTGCTCAGTCATTCAATCCACTAATAATTTCTTGTTCGCTCCAATTAACTGCCTCCTTAGTAAGCGAATTAGAAGATTGAATAGAATCGCTGTGATAACTCGGCGTTGATTCGCTTATTCAACGATCCTCTGATAATTCGAATGCGATCTGTCTCCAGTTCTCAGATATTATCTTCGAACCACATCGAGTTAGTTCTGATCGAACGAATTAACCCTATTCCAACTAATCATCTCGTTGTTCAGTTATCAGCTCTAATTATTGATAACCAATGAACCAGTGATGAAGAAAACTCTATCAGTGAGTGATCCTAAAGTTTATCTGAATAAATCTGATAGTAAATTAAACGAGTATCTTCATCCGAACAAAACATCAGAATATGAATCAAACATCAGACGAATGTCAACGCCAGTTCAATCGAATACTAATCATGGAGAGATGAATTCATCAAGAGATGAATCGAATAAGAATAAAATCTCTCAAATTCACTCGTTTGTTCTATCGAGACTGCCCAGAAGACGTGCAAGAAGCACATTTTTACGTGAATTAATCGACTACGATACTCCATTTAGTCAGTACTCGGACTCTGACTCACCAACACCAACCCACTTACGTTCATTCACTGTTTCCAAATCGAGTAGCGCATCGGTAAAATTTCTCACTTCATCAATATTATTTCGTTCTATCCATTGTAAAACCTCAATCCATCATAAAATCAAAACGCTTACCCATTGTTTCATCACGTCTGGAACGACGGTTTGTGATACTAATGCCGTCGAACTGATTCACTTCGCAGCCATCACTCCTGAGTTTTATTATGATCGCGTATCTTTTGATTTGATCTCTTTTAATAATCGAACATCTGTCTGAGTGCAAATCCAAGTTGTGGTCCAATCGTCTTCTGAGCTAAAACCGAAGCATGAGATGAATCAAAATGGATTCAAATGTCGGTGGTTAACGATGAAGAGACTGCAAGATGAAACAATTCACCATAATTTTGTGATAGCATACGAATGCCAGACAACATCTTTCAACTTGAATATTCTCACTCTTGCATCCAATATAAGTAAGAGGGCATTTGCGTCCCACATGTTTTTCCATAGAAATTTGGTGAATATATTAGCGAAACATAATAATTTAGTTAATAAATGAGTTGGTTGGAGAAGATGTTTGATCATTTACTGTAGATAAGATGATATTTGATGCATTAAGGCTAGGTAGTTGAAAAATATCAAAGAGCCGTTTTGCTAAACTCATCGAAATTGCTGCGTTGAATGTGGTTGAGTATGCAATTAAGATAGCGATTCATTATTCAATATCTTTGCATTATTCACGTATTACAATAAAATGCTTTTGAACTGCAAAATAGATTTTGCATAATAATGAATAATTGTACCGTAAGATAAAGATATATGATGAAGTGATAATGAAGAATTATGTTTATATAGCGATAAAAAATGAGCACTTGAGATTGAAGAGAAATCACACAGTGTATAATGCAACAGAATAGATGAGAAACAAAACACGATGCGGTGAAACGAACTATAAAAACAATGAGAAAAAGCAAAAATATGAAAGTACACTTGAGAAAAAGCTCGATAAACCCACGTCGCCACATACTTTAAAACATTTACAAAGCCATTGAGATGTTCATTTTGCATTCATCCAACTCGATCACCATCATCACATTACATATCTTGCTGTTGTTGAATTACACTCGTATATCACGTCTCATCATCGAGTTATTATTCTTATCAATACAGCATTCTCTTGTGTCATTCGATTTTTAAGTTTGTCTTCTCCTATTACCTTTCCTTAACTCAATTAAAATAATTGCCTCATCAATTCCACTTCTAACCATACAATATCTTTTCTTCTTCTGACTTCATCTAGCACATATAATGATATAACCAAATAAAAAGCTTCAATAAATTATGGAACCTTAAATAACATCAATGAATATACGATAAAATTTGAACACAGGATGAAACCCCGTCATCCGGACTCACTATCTCGCCTCAACTCAGAAGTCAATTACTTGGATTGCAACAGAGTGGCGGTGGAACACCAGGTGAAGGTGATTCAGAAGATGAAATGTCTGAATCAATCTCCGAATTGCCGAATATCAGTGGACAACGATCGCGAAGAGTTTCTAGTCAAAAACCTGAGGTTGCTTTCATTTCATCTACCATTCGCTTTCATCTACACACTCAAAACAATAATTCTTGTAGCTCAAAGCATTCTTCTTTATTTCACAGAGCTTTACATCTTTTACTTCGCAGACTCATTTCCATATCTACCTCATAGCATGCTACCATCTGAAAATCATGACATAAATTCAGTCAATGAATTCGTTCAATCATTTTGAAACAGCACATATCAGTTGAATTTATTCGCGAAATTCATTTTTCATCTACACTGGCACAAAGCATCAGCCAGTACAATACGAGTCTGAATTCATTAAATCGAGCATTTTTACAGAATTCATCTGTTTCATTCAATCAGTTTTAATCTTTAACCATAAGATTGCTGAACTCTATCTAGCTATTACCACTTCGACTATATATTCTCGTAACGTTTTCAGATGCAATATAGCACATGTAGTCGTTTAATACAATTAACTTGATATTGCTGCAATTATAATAACTTGATGTTTGTTTGTGCATGCTTTGCATACCTTAACAAATTGCGTCTTAGAAGCACAGCATAATTCATGTTGATTTCAGATTTTGTTGTAATGACATTTGTTTGTTTTCGTTAGGTATTTCTCATGGAGGTATACTGTATGTCTAACCAATCAGCAATCTTTTGAGTGTACACTTTTCGATTATCGTAATCTGTGCTTGTTCAGCTCAGAGAAAGCGTGGACGTAGTATACACTTGGAAAATCTAAGTTGTATAATATAATGAATTAGAGCAAATCTTTAAATGTTTGTCCTTGAATATGTGTTCAGTGTTGTGTTATATGAGTGATGTTCCGAGAAATGGTAGTAATGCTTTGTCGGCATAACATTTCAGCAGTCGAAGCAAACTGGCGACCAATCGCTATCTAGGTCTAGTTCATCTCCGTTCAACGTTATGGCAAGTTTCGTTTTATGTTTACTAATCGTTTCATGTAATCCGCCCAGAACACATAGCAATTTGAAGAGATGTCATGTTGAAGTTCATTCATCAGTTGTTCGTCACATTAAACTAATTATGGTTATCAGTGATGGGTACGCCACTGAAAACAAAACAGCTCCGCTAATCGCCAATTAGCTAAAAAAAANAAAAAAAACACCTTTGTCCTGCTAAAAGTGATTCGTCAGTAACGCCGCTGACGAAAAAATAGCGGAAGCTTCTCGCTAAAAGTGCCACTAATCGAAAACAATAGCGCCAGTTTCCACTGAAACGCTACTTAGTAAAATTAGTCCGCTAATCGCCACTTTCAAATCTCCCGTTGAAATCTGCAATCACGCTACTGAGTTCTGCGGGGGAAAAACCGTCGGAAATTTGGCAAAATCTTTTCGATATTCATCAGAAATGTCGAATTCTCTTCGAATGGAATCCGCTCACCAAAAAATTGCAATAATACTAGTAACCAAATGATGTCTGAATGAAGAGTCACGTCGTCGATCTCCGATGTGGTAAGCATGGAACTGGTTCCGACGACGTCAACAGTAGATCATGTCAGAGATACAGCGCAAGCTACCAATAACTTATATCGCTAGAAAAATGTTGTAGCGAAGGTGATCGTTACAAATTTCCGCTCTATTAAAGAAGTACCGCGCTACCGAAAGCTTCACTAGTAGCGGAACACACTACTGCCCACCACTGATAATTAAATGTTATTCGGAGTGAAATAATCTGTTGAAGTCACATAAAGTCACACAACCAAAACTTGTGCGTGTTGTCAGTGCGTTGTCAGTACGTTACACGTGTGTTTCAGTACGTCCATCACAAAGTTTTCTCGGAGTCAATTGTGAGAGTCAATTAGCATTCAAATAACAAATTAGTGGATCGTTCGCGTTCAATTGTTCACTGTAATCGTTCACTGAATTGTTGAAGTTTGCTGTAGTATCGAAGAGGGTCGGTGCGAGTGTAAGGGTGTGCGTGTCCGAGTGAAATTTTCGTTTCGATAAGTAAAGCTGGGATAAGATTATTTGGAAAATTATTTATACATTTCTTGGAATAGTGCATCTCGAGAAAGGTGTCGTTATTTCTTGAAATCTATCCGAGGCGGTGAATTCTCGTCTTGTCTCGATTATTCGAGACGACGGCTGACCACCTGATTTCCTTGCAAAATTATTTCGAAGTACAGACTCTCGATGCACTGTGCATATTTTGTGCATAACAACACTGTGTTAATTTATATGCACCCAGAATACACACGGAATTCATAGGGATAATCAGACTAGTGATAAACGCTTCGAGATGCTGGTTAGTTGAAGGGGTTGAATTAAGGAAGTTATCGCATGTTATCATATTATACTGATTATTGTAAATTGAAGTAGTCATTCATTCACAGGATGATCGTTTCAAATAAGGTAAATGAAATAATAAGTTTTAACAAACTGTTCTAATCCGTTCTATTCTGCAATAAGTTTGTGTGGTTTGTGATTCAGCTGAAGAAAACACCCAAAAAGAAGGCTGAAGAAGCACCTGCGCAACAAAAATTCGCATTGAAGAAAGTGGATCGAGACGCCGAAGCACGTCAGAAATCGCCCTCCCGAAGTCGAGGATCTTCAGTAGCAAATGACGTAAACAATGCAACTTATTTGTTGTTTCGTTTTTCGTTTTTGATCAATGATATGATATCGTTGCAACGAAGGGCAATGAAGTATACTAACCTCAAGGGGTTATCAGGTGCAGTAAAAGCAACTTTGCGATACTGTGTACGTTCCTTAAAGCAACGTACACGAACAGCATTAGAGCAAGAATTTTGCTGTGACGAAATCAGTGTTTGTAACGTTGCTAGTCATCGATTGTTTGCATAATGTTCATGTTACTACGAAAAGTAAGTCAGTCCTCAATCCACGTTCCATTTGATCCGTTCCAGATGTTCGTTCTCAAGATCAACAGGTGTTTCTGTCTGAACAGTCTCTTGTTCTGTTTGTCAAGATGTACTTCATTCTGAGTTCGTACATAATTCGTACGTTAGAGTTGAAGTTGAGTTTGGAGTGACAAAATTGTGAATGTTGTGGATGTTATAGCTGTTTGATTGGGTGCTCTTTATACATCATTTTTATGTTCGGTGTCATGAACCTAGTTTAGAAATACGGCTATTGCTTAAGGCGAACGCACTCAACAGCGTTATTGAATTTAAAAATAAGTCGGAGCAGGGTGAACTCCCAGATGATGCACCTTTCGAAGCAGCTTTATAAGCAAACGAATCAATCGTAGTAGTCGTACTGCTGATATTGCTAATCAACACAACCACTCGTGAATATCAACGATTCCAGAGGCGACTAAAGCAATAGATACTGATTCTGAGTGAGAAGTGTAGTGATTAGCGATCGTCCTATTACACACTTTTAGCAAACTGCTCTGTTCTGTTCTTTTCCGCCCTTCAGTTGTTCTAAAGCGTTCTAATCTTCGCATCCTTTTTGCTGGAACTGTTAAAACAGCTTGACTGGAATAGACACGTCATTAGTGGTGATCCAACTAAACATTTCATTCGATATTGAAAATTCCAGTTTCAATGTTTCAAATTGAATGTTTGCACATTGTCGAAAACGAGTACTTTAAAAATGTATCGTTTTGATCCATTGCAAGTCATTAGTTTGAATTTTTGTGCGCAATGCCATTTGAGATCGGCTGACTTAGTTTGGACTGAGATTCAGATAGAATGATATGTCGTACAGTATCAAGTATGCAGTTCAGCATAATTTTATATGCATAAAGTATAGGTGATTAAAATCTGTACCTCCCTTTGGGCTCATGTTAGAATCTCGTGTAAATCGCCTCTGATTAGTGTGAAAAAAATGAAGAAGAATAGATACGAATCAATGCCTTGTCATAATGATGTACATAAGAGAATCGTTCAGATGAGAAAATGGATACCTTTAAGGAAGAACGTGGTTAAGTAAGAATTCTTACAATTATAATCACTGTTAGCTGATTTTGATTCTCAAGCTCCCTTAAAAAATTTTGAGAATATGTNTGTCCTGGATAGAGTCCGAATGGAGCAGACAAACTCTCTGCGAAAGATAAGTCCGCCCGCAACTGATTATTGCGATATAATTTCAGGAACAATCGGGTTTAAGGCGATCTGCCAGTGGAACTTCGAGGCCAGGAGAGATTGAAGGTCGTTCACGGGTAATTGTTTCATCATTATTTTGTCAATTCAGCAAAATCAGTCACGGTTTCGTTATCAGCTTCACCATCATTATTCTGAACGTTTAATGTGATAGTATGTGTATAGATTTGTTGCATGAGAATAAGCATCAAAATATGAGATATTGAATGAACGTATTGTAATTAAAGATGAAAGAAATAACTGAATCAACTGAGTTGCACGAAGAACAGCAAAAAGCAACAAGTGCAAGCCTACAAGGTAAACAGGTTGGAAAGAAGAAAGCATTAAGTGATAGCAAAGAAAAGAATCCCCTCGAAGGAATTAAACTGAAAAAAGTGCAAAGAGCTGATACTTCGTCTGATACTTCCCCCACTACAACGCCATCGTCATTGTCCAGTCGTCGTGACACCTCTACGCCTCTTGATGAATTTCCTGATGAATTCGTTCGAAGACAGTCCAGTCTAATGGGTGATAGTTCTCGAAAAGGATCATTGGTTGTAAGCCTGAACCATCCTCAATACTGCTCTCTCTCTCTCTCTCTCTGTTTATACCTCTATCCATTTTCTTCCTTTTATTCGTTTTGTTGGGCTTGTAGCCGCTTGAGATATGGAGCTCAGACCTTTAGCTAGTAGCTCATCTTGAGCCTGGCAGGTGAATGATAGCTATCTCCAAAGATCAACAGTGTTATCTCATTGTTTTCACATACCATGTCGGCTACATTCTTCATAACCATCTACGCCCATAAATTTTCACACCAGAGGCCAGACTTCTTCCCAGCAACACCTTTCCTCAATACTACTACTTCTGACCGGAATACTCGCCTTTTACTGCTGGAATCATGTTTGCTAAACCTTTAACAACACCTCGCGAGATTGCTTTCAAAATCGGTACTCATTCAAAGCAAAAGAGTCAAGAGGATATTCCATTATGGCACAAAAAATTTTATCCATTTTCATTGCAGATTTGTTAATTCATCACAAAGATTGATTCAATTCAGATTCGTCATCGCAGAGGGTCGATATTTTTGATTGTTTTAAGAGATTATCGTCATGAGAACTGTAAAAACTATATAAGAAAGGAATATTTTCAAACAAATTAGCATCTTCCATTGACATTAAACCAGCTTTTCAAATTCTCATGGATACATGTCATGAAAAATTCAGTTGCAGTCATTTCCATGCTTCAGGCGTTCATTTCAATTCAAACCTATTTCTTTCTCCGACTCAAAATGCTCATCCTCTCATTCAATCGCTCGTTCTTCTTCAACACTTCTATCGTTACCCTATGACATACTGAGATATAATCTACAGATTCACATCTATCTTACCTACAGATCACTCACTATCACTCCTCATAACCCCAATAAATCCTTCGATTACTTTATAAATGAGGACGTAAATTTTAGCGGCGAAGTAGTGTGGATATGCGTCGTGAAAGCATTTCTGATGTTCTTGAGAAGGCATCAACACCACTTGAGCCCACTGGACCTGTTGGACCACCGCACATTGCTGAGATACCCGAAAATGTTACAGTACCTGAAAGTGAGTCGTTCAAAAATTTTATTAAAAATTAGCTTTAAGTATATAGTCAGTGATGCATTTTTTAAAACTCCTTATCACATCAGTAACGTCATGAATAATTTGTTGATGATTACAGATGAAACGGCTGTTTTCAAGTGTAAAATACAAGGAAATCCAGTACCTAAAATCAAATGGTCAAAAGGATTACGAGAAGTTAGTGGCTGTGTTCATTGTATCATATTTTTGGTAGTCTATTGAAATGATGACTCACGACACAACGGGAGTTGTTCCATGAAAAGTGCGTTTGAACAAATTCGATACTGTTTGAGTTGTTGAGCTGGAGTTTCAGATAATGGCAGGAGGCCGTTTCAAAATCTTAACAGATCGTGCAGAAAGCACAGTAATGCTGGTAATGACGAAGTGTCGTTCACAAGACGACGGTCCGTACACGTTGACCATCGAGAACGAACATGGTCAAGATTCAGTGGCTGTCAAGTTGCTTGTCACTTCGGGTGCTGGACTTGATCTACGTTCCATGCTTAAGCATAGGTTTTGTGCCTCGCATTCATTCATTTATGGTTCATTGCTCCAATATTTCACGTCGATGTTCAATAACATGCATCTCAAATAATCAATGAGCATTATGTCGTTTGCCATAGTTCAAGCCAAACACAAATCAATGATTATTTCAATAACGAACTGCTTCAGAAACATTTCGAATTTGAATTTTGCTAATTGTGAGCATTGAAATGGGATCAACAGTGAAGCAATGGGATAGCTGTACGTATATTTATCTAAACAATAGGATTGATAAGCGATGGAGGAATATATGAGTGATTACAATTGAAGGGAATACGAGGGTGGCGCAGCAGATGGATCAGCCGATGGAGGCGCAGGTAAAGCAAAAGAGAAGGATAAGCCGATGACCGAAGCAGAACGAAGACAGTCTTTATTCCCAGGAAAAAAGAAAGAGAAATGGGAAAGACCATTAGAGGATAAGACTGTACAACAACAAGTTGATAAGATTTGTGAATGGAAGTGTGTTTATTCCAGACCAAACGCTAAAATCAGATGGTACAAAGATAAAAAAGAGATTTTCTCAGTTAGTTGATTCATCTATTACCTCATTTCGAGAACTCCTCCCGACGATACCAATTGAATAGATGAAACATTTGAATGTGTTCAGGGTGGTTTGAAGTACAAGATTGTGATCGAAAAAGCAGTTTGTACACTCATCATCAATAATCCTGAAGTAGATGATAGCGGCAAATATACGTGTGAAGCCAACGGACTGCCCACAACAGCTATCTTGACTGTTGATGGTACGATAAATTTTGATCATTTCTATTGATAAATCTCAAACTTTGACACGGATTGATGGTTAACATTATGAATATCCGGTTCATATGAACGTGAACTCATCAATGAGTTGCTTACCAATTCTAATTACAGAGCCACCAATGAAATACAATTTCATCACACCTCTTCCAAACACTCAAGAAATTTATCGTACCAAACAAGGGGTACTCACCTGTAAGGTTAACAACAAGCGTGCACCTCTTGTATGGCATCGCAACGGCAAACCGATCGCGTTCGTTTCCATTCCATCTTCAGTCTATCGCAATTGTGCAGATTGTAATTCCAAAGCTACGTAAGGAACAGACAGTTCACGCGATGACTTTTGCAAAGAAGAGGAATTTTTGTTGACTGAAATGAATGTTTTTAGAATTTGAATGTTGATTTTCAGGGAAAACGATAAAAGGTTCTTGATCGAAAGTGATGCAGTTGGTCGTTTCACGCTGACAATCAAAGAAGTTATCCAAGAGGATCAGGGAGAATGGATGGCCAAAATCACTAATGATGTGTTTAGTAAAGTACAAGTTTATGTGGAGGGTTAGTCGTTGTTTTCGTGATGATAATTCATTATTGTTACGATCATTAGTGGCATAATTAAGGTGATTGCTATTATTACTAATATCTTCAACAATGATCAGTGTAGCATGGCAATAGTTGTTATTTATGTGGCAGTCACGACAATAATCGAACAAATGAATAGCAAAATGCACTGTGCAACAGCAAGCTAGAGTAAGTGATTACAAAATGAATTCAGAACCACGCCATACATTCGTGATTCCGTTGAAATCGCAAAAAGTGATGGAAAAAGAAACGACAACATTGGAAACGGATGTGAATGATAAAGATGCGGATGTGGAGTGGTGGCATGACGGTGTGAAGATCGCCCTGGATTCGAAGAAATTTGTCGCCGAAGCGGTCGGCCGAAAGAGACGTTTAACTATCAATAATGCCAGAATGGAGGATCATGGTGAATACAAGTGCACCACCAAGGATGACCAAACATTAGCGCAACTCATTGTTGATGGTTTGTAGTTCGTCACTGCTTTTATCAATTAGCCAAATTGGAGAATAGTAAGGATTATGGTCTAGCAACTGTAATAGCAAAGCGTATCTCTCTTAGCTTACGGTGAGCAATTACGGTACCAAAAATAAATCGCTGGTGGTGATTTATTTTTTCCACCTCATGTGAAAATCTCACTTGTACAGACATATTCAGCGTTCAGTGACCAACATTAAGCCTACTATGAAATATCTCTTACAAGACTTGTTGTTATTCCACAATATGCTTCTATCGATGGTTACTCAAAGGTGCAATATTTATTATGGAAGCAGGTAAATAATTCAAATGATTATTTCAGCACTCAACAAATTCATCGTTAAATTAGCTGATATGGAAGTGATTGAAAAAGAGGATGTCACACTGAGATGCGAGACGCAGGTTAATCAGTTTACTGTGTCGCATATCGTTATCGCTACTGTAACTCAATCCCTAATGGCATACGATTGTGTTTTTGATTGTTTGAAATACCAAACAATTCATTATTGTGAATCATCGTTGATGCGAAATTCATTGAAGAAGCAAAGAAATTCAATTATAACGCAATCAGTAAGAAACTGACATAAAAGATGCAATCATTAAGGATACAAAAACGCCAGCAATTTGGTCAACAAAAGGTAAAACAATCACATCAATGCCTGGTGGCAAATACGAGACAACGTCTCGAGCTGGTGTACATATGCTGAAAATATCGAAGATTGAACTCAGTGAAGGTGATGTTTATGAGATCAACGTGGCTGGTCTTGAAGGATCTTGCAATGTCACAGTTCTTGAGGCCGAGAAGAAGCCTATTCTCAATTGGAAACCCAAAAGGGTTCGTTCATTCATTCATTTTTATCGTTGTTCAGAAAAAAAACTTGTGTGTACGATTTGCTGTAATAAATCCTCAAGTTAAATCAATAACTTATCACTACCTTAAGACCGCATTATTAGCGTAACATTGTCACTCTCATTTATGACAGATATCTTGATTATTGATGTCGATTCAATGAATTTATTGTATGTTTTGTTGATCGTTGATTGTGTGATCAAATTGCAATTGAATTATATCAATTCAATTTCAGTGAATGAAAACGGTTACTCTGAATAAACGTGAAGTATCGAACTGAATTTTCAGATAGATATGGAAGCAGGCAAACCAGAGGTCATAAAAATACCGTTCCAAATCAAGGGTGCGAGAAGAACTGCAATAAAACCAGTGTTGAAACGAGATGGTAAACCGGTTGATATGAAACTTTTGAAAGACGTTGAAGTTGTTATTAACGGTGATGTTGCTGAAATCAAATTCAAGGTTATTTTGCATTGCATTCTTCATATTATCCTTGCAGACATTTTGGTTTTGAGTGTCTGTGAATGATTTTAGGTGTTGATTGTTGAATGCTTTTGATAAAAAGAATACTAGCCATATTGTGGATGCGTTTAATTGATTCGACTGTTTGAAAGCAATCATTCATTCGTTTATTTATTTCTTCAGATGAATCAAAGTCTTTCTTCCATTTCAGAACCCTCAGAAGGAAGACACTGGCAAATGGGCATTGGAGCTTGGAAATTCAGGTGGTACCGTGTTGGCACCATTCGAAGTATTCGTTAAAGATAAGCCGAAAGCACCGAACGGTCCTCTGGAGACGTCGAACATTAATGCCAAAGGCTGTGATCTGAAATGGAAACCTTCAGATCCTCAAGAAGGTGCTCCAGTAAAAGCTTATATCGTCGAGATGCAGGAAGGACGATCAGGTAATTGGGTGAAGATCGGTGAAACGAAAGGAACTGATTTCAAGGTGATTCGATTCATAGTATTATTTGAATGAAATAATATTTCTTCACCTAATTGACATATTACTAAATTTGAGCCGGCAATCATTTCAGCTCTTAGCCAACAATTCTTTGAACAAAAAATATATCCTCAAATAACACCCCAAAAGTTTGCAGGTGAAAGATCTGAAAGAACACGGCGAGTATAAATTCCGTGTGAAGGCAGTTAATGAAGTTGGCTCATCAGAACCGTTAATGAGTGAATCGATTCTGGCGAAGAATCCATACAGTTCGTTTTTTTCCTTTTGCTTGCTTATATCGGTTATACGTATCCACAAATCAGGGTAATCTGAGAATGTCAATGTGTCGCGTGTTCGTGACAGTTACTCGAACCCAAAATCGTTTGCGTCCATCGACAATTTGAAGCAATCGAATGAAATCAGAATGCGATATTGATAATGCAATTGAGTATTTGTTTTGCTATGTGCTCCATGAGTGAATTTCGTGTGCTTATATCAGCCTTTCAATCCTGAATACGGGTCCATTGGTAGGATATGAAGTGAACGAATGAAAAAAAATTTCAGATGTTCCTGGTAAGCCAAAAAATATGAAAGCAGCAGATATTGGAAAAGAATCATTGCTACTTGAGTGGCAACCACCCGAAAACGACGGCGGTGCACCAATCGAAAGTTACATCGTGGAACGACGTAATAAGTCGGAAAAAGAGTGGAGTGAAGTTGGTACTGTGACTGTACCGGCCGGAGATTCAAGAAGCACATTCTCGTTACTTGATGATAAAGTGGTAGAAGGCAAAGAGTACTATTATCGGGTCCGTGCTGTCAACAAAGCTGGTCCTGGTGACCCTTGCGATCATGGACGACCATTCAAGATCATGGCTAAACCAGGTGCGAGCAATTCACATAACATATTTTCTTTCGTGCAGTTTTTATCGTATCATTTTAATGTGCTTACCTTCTGATAAACAAATATGAAAAACTTTCAGAAGCACCCAGTTTCCCAGATGGGGGCATAAAGGATTTGCGTTTGAAAGTAGGTGAAACAATCAAATACGAGATACCAATAAAGGGCGAGCCAACGCCTGAAATAACGTGGACAGTCAATGGAAAGCCGTTGAAAGCAGCCGGACGATGTAAAATGGTTTCTGAGAGATACAAACACACTCTGAAGGTGAGCTGCTATCGCTTTTATTGAACGTTGCAATTAACTGAGCACATAAACTAATCGCAGTTTGTCCATTAGACTCATACAATGTCTACATACAAACTTCTTAATTACAGCTTCATTTTTATGAGTTCAACGGATCCATCACAAATGTTATTGACAGAAGAGGTGTGTTTGATAGGTTGAACTGGCTTTTCACAGAAACATTTCAGATAGAAGATGCGAAACGATCAGATTCTGGCAAATTTGTGATAAAACTAAAGAATGCGAGTGGCACTTGTGAATCAACTGCCACAGTAACCGTTATATCTAAGCCAACCGCACCGAATGGACCGTTAAATGTCACCGAAATCTGCGGAGATGGTTGTACGCTCGACTGGAAACCACCGGATGATGACGGAGGAGAACCATTGCAAGGTTTCGTCGACTGTTCACCTAATTTTTAGTCATATTATCGTTATTGTTATCATCGTTAACGAATATTCTCATTTTATGTAATTATGAATCAATGAATGTGTCGTGCATTCATAACAGTTACTCGAATGCATTCATCGAGTAATTTGAAGCAGTTGAATGAAATCGGATTACTATTGAGTCTGTGCAATTGAGTATTTTTTATATGCTTTTTCAGTCGTTTATGATACTTGAAGGGTCAATAAGAGATATTGTTTATAGAGTATATTGTCGAAGCACAAGATTTGGATGAGAAGGGCAAATTCGTGAAGATTGGTAGTGTTTCACCAAATGAAACCAAAATGTTGGTTAAAGGACTGAAGAATAAGGGCAATTACAAGTTCAGGTGAATGATTGCCTGCTGATGATGTGCATGCGTTTAAGTTTCTGTGCTCGTGTGAACAGTCCGTTAAAATATATGTGATTGGATGGATCGCTGATTTCATTTCGGAAATCAGTAACAAGCGATCAATGAGCATTTCATAGAAGCATTCGTATGTGAAGAAGTGATCAATGCGGTATTTCAGAGTGAAAGCAGTGAACAAGGAGGGTGAATCTGAGCCGTTATCAACGGATCAGTACGTGCAAATCAAAGATCCTTGGGATGAGCCCGGAAAGCCTGGTCGTCCTCAAATAACAGATTATGATGCGGATCGTATAGATTTGGCTTGGGAGCCACCCACCCGAGACGGTGGAGCACCAATTGAAGAATATATCATCGAGAAGAAAGATCCGGCTACTCGTGAATGGGTCGAGTGCGCTAGATCACCATGTTAGATTACTACATCGCCTTTATCGTTGATGCCTTCTTCATGGTCGTTTTAGAATCTTCTGATACGGTGGAATAATCTTGATTGAAGTAAATTCATCATGGAACCAAACAAATCAAGAAAGCACAAATCAGTTTTAAAGAAATGAAACGAGTGGTATCAAAATGAGTTACTCACCTCAAGTTGGTGATGAAATTCAATTTGCAGCAACGACAGCATCTGTGAGAAATTTGAAGGAAGGAGAAGAATATCAATTCCGAGTGCGTGCAGTCAATAAGGCTGGCCCAGGACATCCCAGTGAGCCATCCGAGAAACAAGTGGCTAAACCCAAATTTGGTAATGCTGCTTTCATTCCATTAACTCATTTGATATCAACTAACCTATGATTGATATTCATTGCTCAGCTAAAAGGGTGAACACCTTATTGAAAAGAATTGGAGAGATAACACTAGCAATTGTAAATTGCAGTTCCGGCATGGCTGCATCATGAGTCTCTCAAGAGTATAACAGTCAAAGCTGGACAAACAGTTCGATGGGATATTCAGTTTGGTGGTGAACCTGCACCAACCGTTCAATGGACCAAGAATGATCAGCCGTTGGCCAGCAAGGGAACTCTTCAGGTATCTCACTTCTTTATTTCCCACGATTTGATTAGTTCTCATCAAAAAGCGTTCTTTTCAAATGTTCTTCTCCGGATTGTAACCGTTCATCTCATTAACTGACCATTATATCAGAGATATTTCATAATCGCTCAATTGCAGATCGAAAAAACAAAACATGACCACACGATCATATGCATTTCATCAGCTGCTCGTGCTGACTGTGGCAAATATCGTTTGACAGTGACCAACTCGAAAGGCAAAGATACTGAGTGTGCTGAACTAACTGTTCTCGACCGACCTAGCAAACCAAAAGGACCTCTTCAAGTTGGTTTCGTTTTCTGTTCAACTGCTCAGTTTCGTTTATAATCCTGGTCAAGCGAAGTGTTTCAATTTCATTTAATAGATTTGATATTCATGAAACTTGATGAATGTGATCATTTCTCATATACTAATGTACAGTTTATTATGTTGCATGATGCGATGCGATTTCGGGGTACATAATCGTGTTGTTTAAGGTATCGGATGTATTTGAAGATAACTGTAAGCTAGCATGGAATCCACCAGAAGATGATGGTGGTGAACCAATAGAGTATTATGAAGTGGAAAAGATGGACACGGACACAGGTCGCTGGGTACCATGTGCTAAAGTAAAAGATACTAAAGCGCACATTGATGGTCTGAAAAAAGGACAATCTTATCAATTCCGTGTAAAAGCAGTTAATCGTGAAGGCGCCAGTGATCCATTGAGCACTGAAACTGCTACTGTGGCCAAAAATCCTTATGGTTCGTCGTTGCTCTTCTTCAGATATTATTCCACCTATCACAAAAGTCCTCCCTTTTGTTCCACGTATAAAGAACAGACGTTGTACTTCGAATGCTCATCAAAAAACAATTTTATTTCGAGTTGCAGATGAACCAGGCAAGCCAGATGCACCAGAAATCACAGACTGGGATATAGACAGAGTGAATCTGAAATGGGAACCACCTGCAAATGTAAGCAGGATTTCCGAGCATTTTTTATTTGTTTTTTATGGTCTTCATTCGTTCAATCATCAGCAAACGCGTGTGCTGATTAAAAATATCAAAATATAGCAGTAGTAATCTTCGTTTCTCAATTCATTCGTCCAAAACATGTTCGAAATGAATGATTTCACCAAGAGCACTCGAAGGATCATGCCATGAATTCATTCTTCAGCGCTTCAGTGATTTTGATTTAAGGATGGTGGTGCACCAATAACAGGTTATGTGATCGAGAAGAAGAGTAAGCATGCTAGAGACTGGGTTGAATGTGGTAAAACTGACGGCCCAGTGTGCGAAGCAGAGATTCGTGACTTGAAAGAGGGTGAAGAATATCAATTCCGTATTCGAGCAGTCAATAAAGCTGGACCCGGAGAGGCATCTGAGCCAAGTAGACGTGTCATTGCCAAGCATCGCAACTGTACGCTCGTTTTTAATCCTATTTGTTTTCACCAAAATCATTCATTCAAATCCTCATGAAGCAAGTAGCTTTTTCTGAATAAAACAGAGTTGACCTACTCAGAATGTCAGTTTTTGTTGGGGGAGCGTAAGGCGCAGTCGAAATGAGAAAGTAGTAAAATGAGGGAATAACTAAGGCAAAAATCGTCGTATAGAGGCGACTAGTTACTTGTATACTCCATTGAACATCACAAAATATGATTAGAATAAATGAGAAATTGCAGTGAAACCTCACATCGATCGTGAAGCAATGAAGTCGATAACACTAAAGGTTGGACAAAAGTGTGAATTCGATGTTCCGGTACAAGGTGAACCGCCACCAGAAACCATATGGTCGTTTGGTGACAAACCAATTACTGATGATGCTAGGATCAAGGTGATTAATCAATTGATTCTGTTTGACCGAATTCATATTTGAATAAACCATCAAATTAGTTTCAATTAATTACATGAATTAATCCTACTTTCGCTGGACTCATATGGGAATGAGAAAGAATACATTGCAGATCACAAATGAAGAGTATCGAACACGTTTTGTTTTAACAAACGCAACTCGCAAACATGCTGGTAAATATACCTTAACTGCAACCAATATCAACGGTACCGATCAACACAGTATTGAAATCATGGTTTTGGGACGACCATCCGCTCCAGAAGGTTCGTTTCGTGCACACAAAACTATTCGCACATGCTCTTTCGTTCCATGAGGAAGATATGATATGTTATACCATGCACCTTTCTCATATATATGATGCAGATATCGCAGGTGATGTTTAAGCACTCCGCAATCTTTCAATAATTTCGAATTCGGTTAACCCAGTGAAATGGCTATTGTTGGTGTTTTAGGACCATTGGAGGTGTCTGATGTGCATGAAGATCATATGAATCTGGAATGGAAACCACCATTGGACGATGGTGGTTGTCCGATTGATCACTATGAGATCGAAAAAATGGATCTTGCCACTGGTCGTTGGGTTCCTTGTGGTAAAGCAACTGACACTAAGGCTACAGTTCAGAATTTACAAGGTGGAAAAACATATCAGGTTTGTTGTTAATACCATTGCTCAACTCATTATTTTAATATTCTACACCTTACACACTTTGATTTGATCGTATAATTCTGAATGATTAATAATCCTCACTTGTTAACTCGTGACTGCGAGTCAAATACCAAATTTTGTTACATTCAATTCAACTCAGTGTAATTCACGTCACCCGAATTAGCAATTCACTGACATAATTTTGAATTGAAGTATAAGAATCATAGACTGGCCTGATATCTATTGCTTTCAGTTCCGAGTAAGAGCAGTCAATAAGGAAGGTGAATCGGATGCATTGACAACGGAAGGTGACGGCATACTGGCCAAAAACCCGTATGATGTACCTGGAAAAAGCAATAAACCAGAATTGGTGGATTGGGATAAAGATCATGTGGACTTGAAATGGGATGCACCGGATGACGGTGGTTCACCGATCCAGGAGTACATCATCGAAAAGAAAGACGAGCGTGGTCGTTGGGAGGAAGCGATAACTGTTAGCTTTTATTCATCGTTACGATACTCAGAAATTGTGAACTTTCGATGAAATTACATGAGAAATAAGAGTGATTTTATTGACGTACCAAATTATAATCGCAGTCAATAACGTTGTTATTCTAAATTGATGCTTTTGCGTGTAGCAAAACTCATATTTAGATTGCTTCAAAAGTCATGACGCATCAATTCATCTGTCAGGCGATAAAACCAACAGCATTATGCAATAGGCTTGCTGAACGGGTGAAAAGTAGCTTATAGTCAACGTAACGTGCTGATTATAAGTGTGAATCTGGTTGAAGGAGGAAAGAATGATTTTTGCAATCAAAAATGTATGGTGCTTTAGACAAAAATGAATGTGAACTCTATCAAAATTGATTGCTATCGCGATTAGTATGAAGAGGGAATATTGGTAATTCTGTTTCAGGTGAAAGGTGATCAAACGACAGCAACTGTTCCTAATTTGAAAGAAGGCGAGGAATATCAGTTCAGAATAATTGCTAAGAATAAGGCTGGTAAAGGTGAACCATCTGAACCAAGCGATCGTGTTATCGCAAAACCGAGACATTGTGAGTTCATGTTGCATCCAATTCTGGAATTTGGATTCATCAACAATTTTATCTTTTTTTTCGTAGTCTATTGAAAGTACTCTTTTTTTACCGTCAAATTACATCTTAACGTGATTTGCAAATTCACAAAATGTGCGATCAGACGAACATTCATAAGTAATAGAATAAAAATACCAACAGTAATAAATTTTGCTGAAGAATGATGTAAAGAAATGATGGATAATTCAGTGGCACCACGTATACATCGTGAGGATCTACACGATACAGTGATAAAGGTTGGTCAAACGATTAAGTTTGTGGTGCACGTTGATGGAGAGCCACCACCAACCGTAACATGGGCATGCAACGGTAAACCGGTTCAGAGTGGTGTTGTCATCGATAACAGTGACTATCTGAGTAAATTCACCATTGGAAAAGCGATTAGGTTAATGATTAATAATCTATTAATACTTAATTAATAATCTGTTATGTTTTTAGAAAGATACACTCGAGTACTCAATATTTTGTCGTAGCACTATTTGAAAATTTGTTATGCGATCCTTCAAATGAAACTTCTTTTTCGTTTTTTTCTTGTTTCTTCATTCAAAATTTACCTCGAAAAATGATTTTAGAAAGCAAACTGGCAAATATACGATAACAGCAACAAACGAAAGCGGAACAGATACAGTGACCATTGACATAAAGGTTAAAGGAAAACCAAGCAAGCCTGTTGGACCTCTTGGTGTTAAAGATGTATTTGAGGACAGAGCCACTCTCGACTGGAAGCCGCCTGAGGACGATGGTGGAGAGCCGATTGATCATGTGAGTTGATGTTATTTCCGTTTTAAAAGCAGTTGATCAAATGAATACATAAATGTGTTTTAGAGAACTTCCTAGGAATAGTCTTCTATGTACATAACAACACTAAAGTATTGCACAAGATGATTTCAAAACAGTAACGAATGATTAATGATATTATACAACAACTGATATGGTAATTGCCACAGGTTGAATCATTTACTATGAGAATTTTGTGACGCAACTATCGATCAAACGAACTTCTTCAACCGTCCAATTCATATGTGATGTGTTATGGCATGGAATGAGTTTGATTGGTCATCTGACTGATCATCAAGTAAAATACAATCCGAATACAAGAATTTTACTTCCAGTAGTAATGAGGTTATTATGATTTCAGTATGAGGTAGAACGCATGGATACAAAGGATGGAATATGGGTACCTTGTGGACGTACCAAAGATACGATATTCACTGCTGAAGGACTCACCAAAGATAAACATTACAAATTCCGTGTGAAAGCAGTGAATAGCGAAGGCAGTTCTGAGCCGCTCGAAACTGACGAAACCATACAAGCAAAGAATCCGTTCGATAAGCCAGATAAGCCGGGACGACCAACTCCCGTTGATTGGGACAAGGATCATGTGGATTTGCAATGGACAAAACCAGTCAGTGACGGTGGGGCACCGATTCAGGAATATCAAATTGAAAAGAGAACCAAATATGGACGGTACGTATACAATACCTATGAATGTGTGCGTTAATGCAGCAAGTATAAGTGACAAAATATGGATTCGATTAGTTTGGGAATTAATTACTTTCGAATCCAATATTTTGGTGAACACCACTGAAACGTTCCATTGCATTCGTCGAGTATGGACATCCATATTCATTTCAAACCGACTGAATTATTTTATTGTCATTATGTTGCACAGAATCCACAATATTGTCAGTTGATGTGCAAATTCTACGCAACCTGATAAAGCCATATACATATAAGAAGCGGCACTTACGCATTTGGAAATATTTCAGATGGGAGCCGGCTGTAACCGTTCCGGGTGATTCGACAAGCGGTACGGTTCCGGATCTAACGCCTGGTGAAGAGTATGAATTCCGTGTGATTGCCGTCAACAAAGGAGGACCATCGGATCCAAGTGATCCAAGTCCAGCGGTCATTGCAAAACCAAGAAATCGTTCGTTCTTGTTTATTTGTTACTTTCGAAATGCTTTAACGGAATTAGTCAAGTCGCAGAGAAGTGGGAACAGAAACGATAAACTCCATGGAAATTCGATCAAACTTTCTAGATGATTTGCAGGAACGGGGAGATAGTAAGGAAAATAATCATTACTTACCATTAATTTCAGAAAAATCCCGTTATTTCACTTCAGCTAATCATGCGATGTACTGTTCTCTGGGTAAATGGTCAGGACTAAACTTCATTTTCCTTTTAGTTCCACCGAAAATCGATCGTAGCGCGTTGATGCCGATCAAGATCAAGGCTGGACAAACGATCAACTTTGCGGTTCCAGTCGAAGGCGAACCACCACCAGAAATAACGTGGCTCAATCCAGATGGACGTGAGATACGTCACGGTGGTCGAGTGAAGCTTGATAATCAAGAATATCGCACTAAACTGCAAATTCGTGCTGCTGAAAGATCTGACAGTGGTAAATTTACAATTCGTGCGACGAATATCAACGGTGAAGATACGGCTGTTGTTGAAGTGAATGTGATCGGTATGTTCAGCATCCGCATTTTATTCCTTTCATTCTTGGAATGATTTTATAACATCTAACCGACTGCTTGCACAGTGATTACGATGAGCAGTTCCAATTTATCCAGCCAAGTATGATGGCTATTTTTGTTCATATATGATTTTATGCAGTAAATTGATGAAGACTGATACGCTAATGCAACAAATCAATCCTCGTTTCATATTTGCTTAAGCATAGATTTTCGATTTGATATCTGTTCACGATGACAATAACATGCCCAATAATCATCTACAATGAAATTTGATGCATTTTAGACAAACCATCAGCACCTGAAGGTCCATTGAATGTTTCGGATGTTTACGCTGACCACATGACACTCGACTGGAAACCTCCTGCCGATGACGGTGGAATACCTATTGAAAATTACGTCATTGAAAAGCTCGATGCGGAGACTGGTCATTGGGTACCATGCACAAAGGTGCCACATTTTTGCTATTCATTTTCATTCGCTGATAATTTGCTCCATTGTAGCACTGAGATAATTGGATAACTTGACAATGTGATTGATACGCATGTGAATATGTTAGAATTTATGCCGGAATGAATGCAACAACTCAAAAGTTTGAGCACTCACGAAATTTTTTCATGAAGTAATGGGAATTTTAGGTTGACGGATCAAAAACGCAAGCTGTTGTGGATGGTCTTATTCAAGGGCATGAATATAAATTCCGAGTATCTGCAGTGAATGCTGAAGGAGAATCTGAACCATTAGAGACACTTGGTTCTACTCTTGCAAAGAATCCATACGATGTTCCTGGTAATATCATTTCTGTCATCACAATTATGTCATTCTCGCATTTTTTCAAAAAAAAACTGTCCTCGAAATATACGGTGAAACAAACAAATTTTAAATGACATTCGTTGATTCAATGGAAATGTGTTCTAAAAGGAGATTTCCGAATGCTGATCTCAATCATTTGACTCTCTCTCGGCTATAGAGATTGAACTGATAGCATAGAAGAGCACCACCCTAGAATGAGTTGAAAGAATAGTCGAGAATATTTGCTTGTTTGCAGGTAAAACAAGTAAACCGGAATTGGTGGACTGGGATAAGGATCATGTGGATTTAAAATGGAATGCACCAACGAACGATGGTGGTGCGCCAATTGATGGATACGTTATTGAAGTGAAAGAAAAATATTCACCTTCCTGGAAAGAAGCTATGCAAGTTCCGGCTGGTCAGTTGAGTGCAACAGTTGCAAACCTGAAAGAGGGAGAGGAATACGAGTTCAGAATTCGAGCGAAGAACAAGGCTGGCGTTGGCGAGCCGTCTGAACCAAGTGATTCCGTGATCGCTAAACCTCGTCATTTGGCTCCGAAAATTGATCGTAGCGCCATTGAGGAGATAAAAGTGAGAGCAGGAACAGACTTCCAGTTGAATATTCCCGTCTCAGGTGAACCACCTCCAGAAGTGGTTTGGACATTCCAGGGTGAACCAGTTGAATCGAGTGATCGCATGAAAGTTGACAATGTTCCGTACAAGACAAAATTCGCTGTGAAAAGAGCATTACGTTCTGATACGGGTGTTTATTTGATAACAGCGAAGAATGAGAGTGGTGAAGATACGGCTGAAGTTAAGGTGACAGTCTTGGATAGACCAAGTGATCCCAAAGGACCGCTTGAGATAAGCGATATTAACAAAAATGGATGCACCTTGGAATGGAAGGAGCCCGATGATGACGGTGGAGCTGAGATTACCCACTATGTGGTGGAAAAACAAGATACGAGTACTGGACGATGGACAGTTTGTGGTGAACCAGTTGGAACGAAATTCAAGGTGACTGATCTGACTGCAGGACATGAGTATAAATTCCGTGTGAAAGCAGTGAATCGATACGGTGATTCAGATGCACTCGAGGCAAGCAAACCGATCATAGCGAAAGATCCGTTCGATACAGCTGATAAACCAGGAACACCAGAAATAACTGACTGGGACAAAGACCATGTTGACTTAGAATGGATACCACCAGTGAGTGACGGTGGTGCACCAATCGAAAAATATGTCATCGAAAAGAAGCTCGCCAACGGAGAGTGGGAATACGCAGAAGAAGTACCTGCAGAACAAACGAAAGCCACCGTTGGACATCTGAAAGCTGGTGCAACATATCAATTCCGAGTGAAAGCGATCAATAAAGCTGGTGCATCCACGCCATCAGATCCCAGCCGTTCTATCGTTGCAAAACCACGACATTTAGCGCCGAAGATCGACCGTTCAACACTCCTCGAAGTGAGAGTGAAAGCGGGTGAAACAATCGAATTCAACGTGAATGTTGAGGGTGAACCAAACCCGAAGATCGCATGGTTCATTAACGAAACACCGCTCACATCATCTGAACACACCAAAATTGATAACAGTACTGAGCATAATACCAAGTTGAAAACAACCTCTTCGAATCGTCTCGATAGTGGTATGTATAAAATCGTCGCTACCAATGAAAGTGGTAAGGATGAAGCAGAAGTTAAGGTTGTTGTACTTGATGTTCCGGGTTCACCAAACGGTCCACTCGATGTGAGAGATGTGACCAAAGAAGGATGCACGTTATCTTGGAATGAACCTGACGATGATGGTGGTTCACCAATATCGCATTATGTTGTTGAAAAGCAAGAAGCAGGTGGACGCTGGGTACCGTGTGGTGAAACATCTGATACAACACTGCGAGTTAATAAACTCGTTGAAGGTCAGCAGTACAAATTCCGTGTCAAGGCGGTTAATCGGCAGGGACAGTCTGAACCGTTAACAACCCTCTCATCTGTCACGGCCAAGAATCCATTCGATGAACCTGGCAAACCCACTGATGTTACTCCAGTTGACTGGGATAAAGATCACGTTGATTTGGAGTGGAAAGCACCAGCAAATGATGGTGGTGCACCAATTGAGAGTTACATAATAGAAAAGAAGGATAAATTCGGTGACTGGATTACGTGTGCAACTGTACCTGGCACTGAAACAAAAGGAACTGCACCGAATCTTGTTGCGGGCGAAACGTATCAGTTTAGAGTGACAGCAGTGAACAAGGCTGGTAAAGGTGAACCTTCAGATGCAACCGGTGATGTCATTGCGAAGCCCCGTAAATTGGCACCTAAAATCAATATCGCTGGACTGTTGGATATTCGTGTTCGAGCCGGAACTCCGATTAATATTAATGTTGACTTTGAAGGCGAACCAACGCCAAAAGCATCATGGAAAGTCAATGACAAATCGCTTGAAAGCAATGAGCACGTGACAATTACGTCGAAAGAAAAACGTGATGAAATCAGAATTGAATCATCAGTCCGAGGAGATACGGGTATTTACACGATTACGGTGGAAAATGAGCATGGCAAAGATCGTGCATCATGCTCAGTGACAGTTCTCGACGTACCGGATGCTCCACAAGGACCAGTGAAAATAGCTGATGTACATAAAGATGGTTGTACCTTAGCATGGAAACCTCCGGCCGATGATGGTGGCTCAGATATAGTTCAGTATGTTGTTGAAAAAATGGATACTACGCGTGGTGTATGGCAAGAAGTTGGTCGTGTACCAGACTGCAATGCCAAAGTGACAAAACTGATTAATGGAAAGGAATACAAATTCCGTGTTAAAGCGATAAATCTACAAGGTGAGTCAAAGCCACTGGAAAGTGAAGAGATGATTGCTAAAAATCCGTTTGATGTGCCAAATCCAACGTCTAAACCAGAAGTGGTTGACTGGGATAAAGATCGTATTGACATTGAATGGCAGCCTCCTAGTGATAACGGTGGATCTGCAATCAAACAATATATTATTGAAAAGAAAGAGAAAGGTAGTTCGACATGGATCGAGGCTGGTAAAACTAAGGGTGCAAGGACGAGTTTCTCGGCTACAGGCCTCAAACCGGGCACTGAATACGAATTCAGAGTAGTCGCTGTTAATGAAGCAGGTCCCTCAGATCCCTCAGAGCCAAGTGATGCGCAAATGGCAAAGGCTCGGTATGTTAAGCCAGAAATAACCTCACAAAATCGCAAGTTCAAAGTGAAAGCTGGCCTTGCGTTAACGGTTGAAGCTGAATTCATTGGTTCACCCGACCCAACTGTGGATTGGGAATTCAAAGAGAATCAGCCGTTACAACCTGAGCTGTTGGTTAACTCAAAACCTGGTATCACAACTATTTTCTTCCCTGCAGCGAAACGCTCGGAAAGCGGTATCTATACTTTGAAATTGAAGAACGAACTCGGTGAAGCAACAGGAACATTTGAAGTGAATGTGCAAGATAAACCAGCCGAACCGTGTGGCCCAATTGAAGTGTCTGATGTTACAAAGGACGGTTGCGTTCTCACATGGAAACCACCAGAAGACGATGGTGGTGCTGAAATTACAAATTATGTTGTTGAGAAACGTGATGTGAAAACTAATGCTTGGGTTCCTGTGTCGAGTTTCGTTCCCGGCACCAGCTGTATTGTATCAAAATTAGAAGAAGGACACGAATATGAATTCCGAGTTATGGCCGAGAACGTCAATGGCCGTTCAGATCCGTTAACTACAGATGCTGCTGTACTTGCAAAGGATCCATTCGGAACACCAGGGAAACCAGGAAAACCGGAAGTAACAGATCGAGATTACGATCATATCGAAATCGAGTGGCAACCACCAAGAGATGATGGAGGCAATCCGATCTCGCATTACGATATTGAACGAAAAGATCTGAAGACTGGAAGATGGATAAAAGTGAATACAGCGCCGGTTAAAGGAACCACATTTTGTGATGATAGAGTGCAGAAAAATCACTCATATGAGTACCGAGTTAAAGCTGTTAATAAAGCTGGACCTGGACAGCCGTCTGAAGCTTCGGCGGTAGCCGTCGCTAAACCAATGTTTGAAGCACCACAGTTCGATCTTGGTATTGATGGACGTGAATTCAGAGTTAAAGCTGGTGAACCGCTTGATATTACTGTACCATATGTGGGTTCTCCACAACCAGAAATCAAATGGGTTAAGGAAGGAGTTACTTTAAGCGATGTTGAAACTGATGAATCAAAGACCAGGTTATTCATACCAGTCAGTAAACGCTCAGATTCTGGGCCAGTGAAGATTTGTGCTACTAATGCATGTGGAGACGCAGAAGCTAATATCAAAATTTCGGTTATTGATCGGCCAGCACCTCCAGAAGGACCGATTACGTATCCAGAGACAAGCCGACATAGTGTAACAGTCGCCTGGAAACCACCAGCAGATGATGGAGGCAGTGAAGTTACCGGATATCGAATTGAATATCAAGAACTGGGTTCGTCAGTGTGGGAGAGAATACCTGAGACCGTTAGCTCGCTTTCGTACACTGTTAAAGCCCTCGAACACGGCAAGGAATATCAGTTCCGTGTGAGAGCCGAAAACATGATGGGACTTAGCGAACCGATAGTAGGAGGACCAGTCATAGCAAAAGATCCATATAATCCACCTGGTGCACCATCGACACCTGAAGTTACTGGCTATGACACAAATCAAATCAGCTTGAAATGGAATCCTCCTCGAGACGATGGCGGGTCACCAATCATTGGCTATGTGGTAGAAAAGTTTGAGAAGAAGGATGGTGAATGGACACCCGTCAAAATGCCTATGGTACGTGGTACTGAAGCGACAATCACTGGTCTATCTGAAGGTGAGATATATCAGTTCAGAATTCGTGCTGTCAATGCTGCTGGACAAGGCGAGGCAAGCAATAGTAGCGCTCCAACCAAGTGTCAACCCTATGTGGTACCACCTGGAGCACCAGATCAACCACGTGTTGGTAAGGTCACAAAGAATTCGGCCGAGCTAACTTGGATAAGACCAATTGACGATGGTGGTGCCGCTATTGATGGTTATATTGTGGAGAAGCGAAAGGCGGGTACAGATGAATGGATACCATGCAATCAGAAACCTGTTAAGGAGACAAGATTGGTTGTTGAGCCGTTACCAGAGAAAGAACAGTTCGAATTCCGTGTGAAGGCAGTCAATTCGGCTGGAGAAGGTGAACCGTCCCGACCTACTGATATGGTTCTCATTGAAGATCAGTTAGAACGTCCTTGTCTTGATTTATCAGCACTCAAGGATATTACTGTGCGTGCTGGTGAAACGATTGAAATCAAAATACCATTCAGTGGTGGAAATCCGAAACCAACTGCTGAAGTTTTCAATGGTCTTCAAGAAATATATGAAGATGAACGAACCAAAATTGAGGTTTCCATGTTTCACTCTTACTTCAAATCATTTTTTTGTAGCACTCTGCTTCGGTCCACCTCAATTAACTTTTTTTTCTTGCTGCAATGTGCACATTTCGTACACATCCCCTCAAAGCTTTGATAACTGTGAAAAACTGAATTTGAATAACGCTATTGATATCCAATAAAAGATTACGTTTGAAAATGAAAAAGAAATCCTAATTTTTTTGTTTGACAATGATATCTGTTGACATTAAAGCAATGGATGTTTAGGTCGAACCAGATCATGTGAAACTGACAACAACGTGTGCAAAACGTTCAGATGGAGGCCCATATCGGGTAACATTGGCGAACCGTTTTGGCAAAGATACAGCCAAACTGAAAGTAACAGTTTTGGATGCACCAGGTAAACCAGGAGGACCGATTACAGCATCTGATGTAAGTGGTGAGGGTATGACGCTGCACTGGAATGCACCTGAAGATAACGGAGGTGATGCAGTCACCAATTATGTGGTGGAAAAGAAAGACGAAAACGGTGATTGGGTGAAAATTGGACAACCGGTTGGAACAAGCTTCCGAGTACGTAATCTCGAGAATGGTAAAGCTTATGAATTCCGTGTATCGGCTGAAAATCAGTATGGTGTCGGTGAACCACTTGAAACAATCGAGCCAATTGTTGCAAAGAATCCATTCGGTAGGTTATAGACGTATTCTATCCTTTTGCAAACAATGAGAGAATGAATTTTTGATGAATCACCACAACCTAAAACGTGTGTTTGAAAATAGCTAATAGTAAGCATCAGTCACCTATCGTTTACATCAAATAAGAAGACTCATTGGCCAGTCAAGACTACCCAATGGCACTGTTTGCTTCAGATAAACCAGGACCACCTGGTCAGCCTGAACCAATTGCAACAACGGATGATTCGATAACGATACAATGGACGAAACCAATCAAAGATGGCGGTTCTCCGATTCAAGGTTATGTGGTCGAGAAACGTGAAGAGGGTTCGCCTGAATGGAGTAAATGCGCATTTGGAACGATAAACGATACTCGTTATAAGGTGCTCCGTATAATGTTGATTGAAACGTTTGCACTCACTTGTTTGTAATCTTGTGGTTTGATTAGCGCCATGGCGATAACACCATCATTTCCAGCTTACTGTTAGAGAAAAGACTTCCATAGATTATTATTTTTGCAACGAATCAAACAATTTCCTTGTAGGTAAATTCATCCTTGCTGGGAGGGTTAAATGATTCAATATGTACGCTCGGAACACTGAAGTTACAAAAGCATTCTCAACCTGAAGTTGGAAGTAGTCCTAGCATCGATATCGTTCTTCTAAATTTCGATTATTATATTCAAGCCGAATTTTAGGTCACTGGATTGACGCCTAGAAAGCGATATGAATTCCGTGTGGCAGCAGTGAACGCAGCTGGTCAAGGCGATTACAGTGACAATAGTGCTCTTATAACAGCACAAGTTGAAGCATCAAAACCACGAATTCAGTTGTCTATGCTAGGCAGAGACATCATTGCGTATGCAGGACAGCCAGCTAAGGTACTCCAGTCGTTCGTATGAAGCGATAGAATTGATTTTTACAAATTGTAATCTTGTTGATCAGTCAGTGATAGGTATCGATGGTGATCTTGATAATGAATGGTGAATGCCTGCATTCGATTCTATTTCAGCCTCCATCAAATCATATTAAAGAAATAGAACTGTTAAAACATTTCAGGAATATCATTTCATTTTGATCGATGTTGTTCAGAATGATGCATTTATTACCAAGTGATTCAAACACATACTTCATTTTGGCTTATTCCTCATTTTCAGCTGTTCTTCTGAATGAAAAACTTTCACGTAAACGTGAGCATAATTTCTGCAGATACTGATACCGTTTGCATCGAGTCCAGCACCAGAAATAACCTGGAAGAAAGGAGGACAGGTAGTGAGTGAGGACGATAAACGTGCGAAAATCGAGTCGAATGATTACCTCACACAACTTTCATACGATAAATGTGAAAGGGGCGACTCAGCAACCTATACTGTTAAGGTCACTAATTAACACTCGATTCAAAACTATATTTGCTCGTTCACTGATTCTCTTTTTGATCAATTGATTTGATCAACTCCCTTATTTCTTTTGCTCGCTTATCATGTCTTCAAATGATTGTTAAAGAAAGAGAATAATCCACTGCACCTTTGATGAGTATACTCCGCCTAAACAACCTGATTGATACAATAATAAATCAATTACATATGTTCATGAAGCAGGATGAATGCTGAAGAAAACCGAAAGATAGATTCGTTATATAATCAATAAATCATAAGAAATAAATTTCAGCTTGAGAACGATGCTGGATCCGATACGGTTGATATTCATTTGACAGTGGTTGATAAACCGGATCCACCGCAGAACCTATCCGTTTCTGAAATAGCACCTGATTCGTGCGTTCTCAGCTGGCAACCACCGCTCGAAGATGGCGGATCACCGATAACAAATTATGTCATTGAGAAATGTCATTATAAACCGGGACTGGAGGAAAACTGGGAGAAAGTTTCATCGTTCGTGCGTGGTACCAGTTATCAAGTGCCAGGGCTAACTGAAAACGAGAAATACAAATTCAGAGTTAGAGCCGAAAATCAGTACGGTGTTTCTGAGCCAGCTGAGCTCAAAGATGCAATTGTTGCAAAATACCAATTCAACGTACCATCACAACCAGACGCTCCAGTTGCCAAAGATATGGACAGCACTTGGGTGGAGTTGGAATGGGATACCCCGTCATCGGATGGTGGTTCCAAGATTCAAGGCTACATAGTGCAGTATCGTGAGCCGTCCTCGTCCAAATGGACTGTTGCTAATGCGCAACCAATTGTCGGTAACAACTACCGCGTTCAGGCACTTCGTGATAAAGGTGAATACGAATTCCGTGTGATCGCCAAGAACGCTGCTGGCTTGTCGAAACCATCTCCAGCCAGTGATCGCATTCAGCTGAAACCAAAATACGGACCACCTGGCCCACCGACACAAATCAACGCCGAATCAATTGGTCGTAACTTTGTCACCTTAACATGGGCACCACCACTGGATGATGGTGGTTCCAAGATTACCGGTTACATCGTTGAATCAAGAGAGTTGGGCAGTCCGTTATGGCGTGTGGTTAGTGACTATAACGTGGTCAATCCAGAATTCACTGTGCCGAATCTGATCGAATTTCGTGATTATGAATTCCGAATCACGGCCATAAATGCGATCGGTAAAGGTATTCCTTCATTGCCATCTGCACCGATCAAAATTCAAGAGATGGGTGGATCACGACCACAAATTGTTGTTAAACCCGCTGATACTGCGTCGCCTTACAACCGAAGAGCTGTTTTCAAGTGTGAAGCTATCGGTAGACCAGGTTGGTTACTTTTGTGTGTAATTCGTATTTTATATTTTGAATAGATAAATTCATCTATGTATTTGAATAGATAAATTCAGTTGAAGAATGATCTATAACTTAAAACGTTGCGATTGTTTCAGCGCCAACAGCACGATGGCTGCGTAATGGTCGAGAGGTACCTGAAGGTGCACGCTATAGGACTGAAGTTCAAAATGAAGTTTTCAAATTGATAATTAAAGAGGTATGGGACATTGATGCGGGTGAATACACTTGCCAGGTTTCGAACGTTTTTGGAAGTGATTCGGCAACTGCTACGCTCACCGTACAAGGTTCCACTTACTTTCTTATTTCTAAATGATTACTCAACAGAAATCGCTCGCTAAGAACTCGTCCCTTCAACGAGAGCACATTAATTATCCAATGTTTTTCTCTCTTCATATAAGTAATAATAGAATAGTACCGATGAGTTACTTGACTGATTCACTTGTAATGGTAAAATAAATCCATTCTTCAGCACCACCAGTGATCGAGAAAGATGTTGGAAATGGAATCTATGCGAATGGTGAAATGGTCCGTTTGAAGATTTACTTCTCGGGAACAGGACCATTCAAATATCTGTTGACATTGAATAAAGAAGAAGTGCCAGCAGATCACCCGAACATACATTTTGTTGATTTTGAAAATCACGTTATCATCACAATACCATCAATTCATAGCGGTGAGGCTGGTCGATATGAGCTATCGATTAGTAACGACAGTGGTGAGGCAAATACTGCGTTCTGGTTGAACGTTACTGGCTTACCTTCTGCACCACAAGGACCTCTACAAATCCACGATGTGAATAAAACGCAAGCTGTGCTCTCATGGAAGCCACCTGTGGTCAGTTTTTTGTTTCTTTCATTGTTACTTCATGTGATTGTATAAAGCATTTGTTCTGAATTTAATTGCATTTCATTGATTTCTTTCAGTCATCATTATCATCATAATTGCTATCATCACTATTATAGAATGATGGTGGCGCAAGACTGAGTGGCTACATAGTTGAACGTAAAGACGTGACAAAAGATGAATGGACTGAAGTGGCAACATCAATAAAAGACACCAACTTCCAAGTGAATGGTCTCTTTGAGGGACATGAGTATGAGTTCCGAGTGAGCGCAACGAATGAGAACGGACAAGGTCCACCACTCGTTGGCGATAACCCGATTATAGCACGTTTACCTTTCGATACTCCATCCGCACCTGGTAAACCTGAGGTTCGTTCGCGCTCATTCAAGCACTGATAGTCTGAAATTCTGAAAACATAAATTTCGACTGGTTAATTGTTGAAGTTTGCAATGCGTAGTACAAAAGTAATTTCAAGAGAGTTAGTCGTATGCAACAAACAAAAAAATGGAATGATTCAGGTATCACGATTCGGTGATAGTTTTGTGGTGTTGAATTGGACACGTCCGTCGTCTGATGGCGGTAGTTCCATTCGGGGTTATTTGATTGAGAAACGTGAAGTTGGCTCTGATCTTTGGCAGAAATGCAATCAAACCCCATTTGCTGGAACTAATTACCAAGCAATGAATCTGATCGAAGGTCGTGACTATGAATTCAGAGTATTTGCTGTCAACGACGCTGGTGCTTCTGAACCTGCCAATACGTCAGTTGATGCTTTCTTCACTCACTCTTTTTCATGCCAGTAACATTCATGAATTCATTAGAATATTATCAAAAAATGAATCGTATCAATCACTCTTTGCATATTCGTCATCTCCAACTGACACTATGTCTCTATTCTAACGCCCGATGATCATTTGAAACGATCTGATATCGTCATACCTCTATTGCAGTGATCAATTCAAGTTTGTTCCGGCCAAAAGCGGTGATCTGCCGGAAATAATAACACCACTATCGGATATGTTCGGTGAGCAAGGTCGCTCAGTAACGTTCGAATGCGAAGTCGATGGTAAACCTCGACCAGAAATACGCTGGTTCCGTGGTTTACGAGAACTGGGCGATACTCCCAAATACAGTATAATGAATAAAGGAACTATTCAGGTTTCTTGCTCGTTCACATTATGTCTTATTTGAACGCTTGAACTAGCAGACTGACACTAAGCGGCGATACTGTAACATCAATGATAACGATAACATCAGCCCAACAACTTCAGGTGTTGACCATCAACGATTTGCACTGGGATGATGCGGATGAGTATTCGTGTCGAGCAAGCAACTCAGTAGGATCGAAATCCACCAAAGCTCAACTATCAATACGAACCAAACCGCGTGTCTTCATTCCGCCTCGTTATCATGGTGGTTTTGAGGCGCAGAAAGGCGATAACATTGAACTGAAAATACCCTTCAAAGCTTATCCTCAACCGCATTCACGATGGACCAAGAATGGCGAAGATATTCATGATTCTGAGAAATACACTATAACCACTGATGAAAAGTTCGTTTTTGATGCACTCTCGCGATGAAATTTCTTCTGTTACGTGTGATGCAATTATAGGACTGTTCATTTTTACTTTCATTGAGAGTGATACGCACCCATAAGAGCATAACCCTTCTGAGTTTCAATGCTGGTAACAATAAAGATGTTGCCATCGCCAAATTCAGTTTTCAGTTCCTCTTCTCAATGAATTGTTAAATTCAGACTTTAATCTATCATGTGACACTAAATTTCAAAGTGGAATAATTAAACAGGCAGGTAGACGAATGAACGCATTTCAGGTACGCGACTCTTCGAATATCGGATGCAGTTCGTGAGGATCTGGGTCAGTATCGCGTAATTGTTGAAAACGACGTTGGTTCAGACTCGGGCACGATCTCGTTGAGTGTCGCCGATCGACCGAACCCACCTAGATTCCCAATCGTCGAGAATATTCTCGATGAAGCAGCAATACTCTCGTGGAAACCACCAGAACTTGATGGTGGTTCATTGATAACAAAGTATTCCAATTGATTCTATTCCGATTCATCTTTCAATTCCAATTCCTAATTTGAGTGCAATCACTTTAAATATTTTGCTGGTATCATTATCGGACAAATGCGAGGTTTATTGCAGTTACATTGTTGAAAAACGAGAGTTAGCCGGTGGTCAATGGAAGGAGTGTGCAAAGACGAGATACACGTACTTGACTGTTGAAGGGCTGAAGTCGAAGGCCACTTACGAATTTCGCATAAGCGCTCAAAACAAGCACGGCATATCGAAACCATGCGAGCCGACGGCACCAGTTGTCATTGCTGAAAGGCAAAATAAGAGACGTGGCTATGATGGTATCTTATGTTTAACATTTTCGTTGATTCAAATGCTTGTTTTCATCATTGAGAGCCAGTCTCTTTGGTAATCGCTGCATTGCTCAAAAACACTCATCTTGATTTCTCTTTGGTCCTTTTTTAACAGAATGCATCGGTCATTCAATGATATTTGATCATTTCCCCTTAGGTCAATGAACGCTGTGAAATTAATTTAATGTTATCATTAGTGTCTTTCAACTGACGATGAAGATAATGAGTTAACAGTGGCGATGTGGCATTAGTAAGGCAGTAAATCATCAGATGAATAAAGTATTCGAGTATCAGAACTCGTGATCTTATCTAAACTTTAGTCGACGAAACCGGAAAAGTGATACGCGGTAAGGGAACACCATCGGACAATTACGATGCGTACGTTATCGACGTTTGGAAACAATACTATCCACAGCCAGTTGAACCGAAACGTGATTCAGTTTATGACTATTACGATATCTTGGAAGAGATTGGAGAGTAAGATTTTTCCTCGTTTCCTATAGAGTACCATCAAGATTAGTTATAAGTACTCAGCATATGTTGATGACTACTTCAACGGTTTGTTGTTTCCAGTATTCCCTTGTTTAGTTCGGGCAAAACCGAAGTGAGTTAAGTTCTCTGTTCATATTGAATAATGCGGATGATAATGAAGATGATAATAATGAATGATCTATGAAGTTATTGCAATAATGTGTGCTCGGGGGTGTTGCAGAGGTGCATTTGGTGTGGTACATCGTTGTGTTGAACGTGCCACCGGTAACACATTCGCCGCAAAGTTCGTGAATACACCACATTCTGCCGATAAGGAAACTGTTCGTAAAGAAATTCAAACGATGTCGAATGTGCGACACCCGAAACTAATTAACTTACATGATGCATTCGAAGATGATAACGAAATGGTTATGATCTATGAATTGTGAGTACTTTTGATCTTATTCGTTTCAATCGGAACGTGAACGCGATTTATATTTTGTTTTGAATTGTGAACAATATTCACTGAATATATTCGTGAATGATCGAAGGATATTGAAGCATGTCTGGTGGTGAATTATTCGAGAAGGTGGCTGATGAAAAGAACAAAATGAGTGAAACGGATGCGGTGGATTATATGCGACAGATATGTAATGCATTGCGACACCTTCATGAAATGAGTTACGTGCATTTGGACCTGAAACCTGAGAATATTATGTTCACGACCAACAAGAGCAATCAATTGAAACTGATCGACTTCGGTCTAGCTGCTAAACTTGATCCTAAACAAAGTGTTAAAGTCACTACTGGAACGGCTGAATTTGCGGCACCCGAAGTGGCCTCGAATGAACCCGTTGGATTCTATACGGACATGTGGAGTGTCGGTGTTCTCGCGTATATTCTGTAAGCTATTATTGTTCAATTCTCCAGATGATTTATGAATAAGTTCTTTGATATTCTATCGTTACAACATTACCGGTGACAGATAATAAAAGTCCAATCTGTTGTGAGATAAACTATTTGAACTGTTTTCAGTTTATCCGGATTATCGCCTTTCGGTGGTGAAACAGACGAAGAAACTCTAAAGAATGTGAAGAAATGCGATTGGAATATGGATGATCCTTGCTTCTCCAAGGTCTCTGATGATGCCAAAGACTTCATCAAGAAACTACTCGTTCTGGATCCATCGTATGTTCAATATGATTACTATGTTCCATTTTCTTTCAACAACATAAACTAACACTTTTATTGATGACTACGCTGAACATGAAGGAATACGTGAACTGATTGTAAACAATTAAAGAAGTCGAATGACAATACACGAGGCACTCGAGCATCCGTGGTTGAGTAACGCACCAAGTACCTCTGAACAAATACCAAATGAGCGCTACCATTCGATTCGTGATTCAATCCGTCATAAATATGTTTGTTTAATTATTATCACCATTTCTGAAATTATTATTCTTGATACTTTCACTATCACTACCACAATCGAGCATTACATAAATGGAATGCAGCAATTTGATAGTAGTATTATTATATTGATTCCTCTGAATTATGGTAAATGATCACGGAAGATTTTCATATTATCTGTAATAATAAGTAAAACAAGTTCAGACTATTCCAGCAGTGAAAACAGCCCCATTTCGAATGTTCAGTTATCAAAAATGTTTTGAATTCTTTTGTTGCACTTCTCGTAAATTCGTCCTCTTCATGACAATCTCAAAAATAGTCACATATCAAGGAATTCAGATCCTAACACGCCCTCTTCATCATTCTCGTACATTATCTTCATTTTTGGGATAAATTAGTAACTGAATTCTGTTACTGGAATCCGATACGCATTCCATTATTCGAACCATAAATGAAATGTAGCAATTCTCTAATGATGGAGGGATCGGCTGGAGAATTATTCGGCTGAAGTTTACGGAACAGTTTATTGGTTTATTGCAACTGATGAGAAGTTTTGTTCCAGGATGCATGGCCTGAACCGAATCCACCGCTTGGTAGAATCTCAAATTACAGTTCCTTGAGGAAACATCGTCCGGCTGAATATCACATCCACGATACATCATTCGATCGCCAAGATGGTCAACCTCGATTCATCATCAAACCTTTCAATAACACGTGTAATGAAGGACAAATTGCTAGCTTCTTCTGCAAGTAAGCCACTCACAGTAATGCCTATAATATCAATAGCTTCACTCGAAATGAAAACGGATCTCTAAATCAAGCATTGAATAAACGTTCCGAATTTATATTGAAACACTGTTATCGGGATGGACAATGAACGCGTTCAGTTGCTTTCCTTCTCTAGCAGTTGATGTTTTTGGATGCATACGATGTCAATTAGTTATGATAACAATTGATCATTACAAGCAGGCAATAGAAATGGGACCTCCATCCGAATTGAGTCAACGACGAAAAATTTTCAAAATTCAAGAAAATGAAACTAAAATTCCAGAATAATAGCGCCATCGCCACCAATAGTAACGTGGCATAAAGACGCGAATGAATTACGGCAAAGTACGAAATATATGAAGAAATACAATGATAATGATTATGAATTGACTATCAACCGAGTGAAAATGGAGGACGCTGGTGAATACACAGTTAGGGCAAAAAATTCGTACGGCTCGAAGGAAGAAGTTGTCTTCCTTAATGTCATAAGTAAGTTTTTTGAAATTGTCTTTTGCATTATTATCAACAAAATAACAATAATAATTGTGATGATAACAACAAGAATAATGATGATAATGGTAAAAGTACGACCAGCACTAACGGTAACAGTTATAATAAATTAAGAATCAAAAGAAACTAGAGAGGAGACCAGACTGCAACACCAGGCGTCTGAATCGTCCTTCAGTTCGCGAACCACTGCTCTTCTATCGAAGCGATATCCTACCGAACAACCTAGCACTACAACTGCAGTCAAACAATTACCACCCAAATTCACATTCCATCTTCGACCGCGTCTTATTCAAAAGAATCATCAGTGTAAATTGATCTGTAATGTGCAGTCTCATCCAGCAGCGAAGGTTATTCATCGCATTCGTATTTCTTCTATTTATTCAAATTCATCGTTTGAATCTTTACTGATCAATTACTATCGCGAGTTAGCACTTTCGTATTCGTAGCGATGATGTGATTGCGATTCAGGTTCAATGGTATAAAGATGGAGCACCGGTTGATGAGAGTCGTGCTCAATTGACGTATCGAAGTGGTGTGTGTACCTTAGAGATATTCAACACAAGAATGGATGACGCTGGAACTTATCGCTGTGAGGCGGTTAACGAATTCGGCAGTGATTACACCGAATGTATCGTTAATGTTCAAGGTTTGTTTTGAGCGATCCTATCAATCCAGTGACCGTTTGTTCATTCGATATATATGCGTTGGAAATGCGATAGCAAACACGAGGGCTCCAAATATGCTGTTGATGAAATACGGTTGAAATTGAAGGAAGAGGAGAGGAATCGCGAAGGATCATTCCAACGCGAACATCACGACGTGTATATGATAGGCTGGAAGTAACGAGCGATATGGAACGATCACAATCAAGTAGTGATGTGATTAGACGACGAGACCTCTCGTCGTATTCGTCCTCAACTGATCAATATTCGTCGTCACAATCAACCAAAACCAAGTCGACAAAAGATGATTCTTCGTCGATTAAATTACCTTCCACAGCACCCGTTTTCACTCGGCAACTTCAATCGCTTGCTGTCGATGAAAATGATATGGCTGAATTCTCTTGTCAAGTTTGTTGACTTCGTTCTTGCATTGAATTTGCTCATTTCCATTTGTCAAATCCTTTTTTGGCTCTTAACGGTTTGGCTGTTTCACTGAAAAAAAATCGAACATGCACGGAATATAAAACAAATCCATCTTCAAAACAAACCAAGCTTATTAAGAAATCACTTTCACAGTTCAGTTAGACTGTAATAAAATCGAATTTATAAATTAGATAGTGATAGTGACTGGACGATAATAAAGTTGTCAAGGATAAAAACAATCAAATAAGACGAATGATTACTGGAACGCATCTATCTGCTTTAGGTAGGAGGTGAACCAGAGCCTTTGGTTGAATGGTTGCACAATGGAGAGCGCATAACAGAAAGAGATGACCGCAAACGACTCACGTTCGTAGCTGGTCATGCTAAACTTTCGATTCCCTCAGTGAAATCGACCGATGAAGGCGAATACTCATGTCGTGCCAGTAATTCTGCTGGTACCGAGGCTACTAAAGCTAATCTTACCGTCAGGTCATTCAACATTTCCATTATTCTTTTATCGTATCTGTTTCACATATCACTAATCTGAACAAATGAATATTCAGTTGATTTTCTGATCATCTGAACGAGAAAGACCAGATGACTACAGTTGAACTTATTTCGTTTCTGGATTGAATTCGATCGAAATGATCAACGATATCGAACTAAGTGAATTTTTATATGAAACTGTTGACGAATTGAAGGAGGAGATCTGAACCTGAGCCACTGGAGTTGCAACAGCCATCGTCGTCGTCTGCAGCAGAAGCGGTTGTTGATTTGGTGAATGGAGACGATACGTCGAAACAACAAACTGAGCAACAACAACAACAACCACTCCACATCGTGCGGCATCTTGAGGGTGTTTGTGTCGCCTCTGGAACGACTGCAACCTTATCGGTGACCACATCCCATCCAGCTGATGAGGTTCGTTCCATTTTTATCAATTCATTTGATAGTTCTATTGATCTAATGAAGTACTTATTCAGTTTTTGTTCGTCTTTGTAAATGGAATAAAAGCTACGATTATAATTATCAGACGACATATGATCATGTTCTATTACTGAACCAAATACTAAAACCAAATCAGATCAGTTCAGAAGATGTTCATCACTGCAGATGCTACTGTTTCTTGTTGGTGATTAAAATAAAATACAGAAGTGATTTATACGAAAAAATGATGAAATGTCAATTTGAAGGTGATATGGATGAGAAACGGAAAAGAAGTGAAAAGTGATGGTAATGTGTTGATAAAAGAGAGTGGTAGTGAGTATTCGTTAGAATTCAAGAATGTATCGCTAGATGATCACGGTGTTTATCAAGTTGAATGTCGATGTGCCCAGCAAAAAGCTATTTCAGCTGCATCATTGGCCGTTTTAGGTTTGTTTATGTGCAATCATTTCGCTTCAGCACGCACAATCTTTTCGTTTCCTTGATGCTTACAACATTCCATTATCTGTCTACTCATAATTTGCGTTCGAATTAAAAGTGCAACTTCGTTGTAATCACCGACTTTGAGATCGTAGAGCTTTCGTTAAATATAAAAGGGTTCGTTCGGTGTTGAATGTTGATTGTTGACTGAACTGATCGAGTAGGCGAATTGGATGAAATTCCTTGCGTTTTTACGGGTTCAGAGATTAATTAATTCAGTGACAGAAACATGCGAATATGTACTTGCAAAGAGTGGAAGCTATAAAATGAATTACAAAAAAGTTGTAAAAAAACGAGCGAGGAATAAAATGCACTCTTTCAGATAGGCCAAATGACCCACGCGTTGCAAGATTACCACAGTCAGTGAACGCAACTTTAGCTTCGCCTTGTAAATTCGTTCTTGAGCTTGAGGACGCTAGTGGCTTGACTGTACAATGGTTCAAAGGAGCCGAGAAAGTCGAAAAATCAGACCGTGTTAAATCCGTCAAATCGGGTAATGCATTCAAACTGGATATCAAGGTAAATTTTTTTGGTACTTTCATTTATATTCTCATATGGTGGCATAACATCAAGATATCGGCAAAATTGACATAGTTTATCACAATCACTGATCTGTCTTTTTACTATTTTTATATGAAATCAAATCATTTCACAAGTAGATATGTGTATTCAAACGTATACATCGTTACAGAGTGTAGAAGCGTCTGATGAAGGAGTTTATGTTGTAAAAGTGATAAAGGATAAAAAAGCGATATGCAAATATGCGGCAGCGATGCAGATTCACTGATTTGATTTGATTCGTTTTGATTTGTCTTTTCTGAGCATTATTCGAAGTGCACGACAAACGGTGATTTTACTTAAATGATTATAAACAAATGCGATTATTATTATTATTACTCTTTTATTTCATATTATCTTCATCCTTTTCAAAGTGATTCGTTTAATTTACATTACAAAATAAATAATTATATGTTCTTAACCATGCTATAAGTACAAATGATCACGCAAACATGTTGAACTGACAGCACACTTACGGTGCATCGTTCGATAAATATACGATAAATAAGTGATTTCATTAAGATCCCACAGGCAACCACAATGCAGCCAAGTAAAGACAACCAATTGTTCGCACTGTATATTCATAATTTGCGCACCATTGATAAAGCAGCTTGTAGAGGCACTGAACGATGAATGAACAGGACGCAAGAGTCTAAATATAGTCTAAATTTGCACGGTTCGAAATACACGATCATGACCTCCCCGCAATACAAGAACTTACTATTTCAACGAGTGGAGTCTTGAAATACAGTTGACATTTTTAGTTTATGATGTTCGACTTCATGACGTTGGCAAAAGTTAAATTACAGTGATCTTTCGAGATTAGCCGCCGATAACTCGGCTTACTATGCGCAAAAATTACTTCTTACTTTGCTTCATCATATTATCTTAAATATCAATACCTTACACCTTGTAAGGTATAAACGGTCATTGAAAAATGGATAAAAACCTTCAAATAAACGAATAAAAGCAACAAGAAATGTGAATTTGGCTCGGTTTCGAATGTGGCAACTTGACTGTGCCCTGGTAATTTGCTTGATTTTAAACGCGGGAATTCAAAAAATTCTGGATAGATCCGTCACAGACGCACCACCTGATCGTTTCTGGAGGGGGGCCAACTGATCGCTAAACGGGTGCCGAAGCGCCGTCTCACGATCAGAAACCCC